TGCTCCACGACGGACAACGGAATTCACTATATCTACGTATCATGCTTAATAGTGATAAAATGCCATTATATTTGCGCGGGAGTAGGTACAATAATCAAGAATACATTTTTAAAACAGTTCGCGTTTTAAACCGTTAAATTGTATTCTTTAATCAAAAAGTACTAAATAAGTAACATTTGGCTAACGATTACGCGTTTTGAGAAAGTTGTATGTTGTTATATAACAAACACTTATAAGGCAACAAAAAGAAATTGAATACAAGGTAGTACTTAACAAATTCTGATGTTCACTGAGGCTATCGATCTCATTATTATTATGTAAAATTCAACTGAGTATAAAGAAATTATTACTTTTAAATAAGACCTTTTTATCTCCGGGCCCTCACCGTGACCGCAGGGACTAACAAAGCAAACAAAACGTTGCGTTATTGTTAAAATAATTTTACTAAAATATTTCGTGCTTATAAACGTCAAACGTGTTTAATTTTAATGTGTACTTTTTGCGTAAACTACACACAATATATACTAATAAATAAAGCTGCAGAGTTTGTTTGTTTGAACGCGCTTATCTCAGGAACTACTGAAAAAATATTTTTGTGCTGGTTACAGCATCTAGGAAGACTAAAGGCCATGTAACATTAACTACGACTTATAGGAGCGAAGGAACATCCCCCTGTTCCTGTGTTTAAACCGGTAAAAATATTTATCTTTGGGGTTTTCCATTGACTACGCTGCGAAAACGATTCAAGATATCCAAAAAATTGTATAAATGAGTCATTCCTCTTTAAATTATTAAAAAAAATATCGCGACACTATATGTCTATCTTTTAAGATCGCGAACGAAGTCGCTGGTACAGCTAGTATGTTACAATAAATTCTTAGGTTATCTGCATTGACTGTAAATATTGTTCTGTTTCTAAGTTAATAGTAACAAACCACAGAAGTATATCCACAGATTAAAAATAATAATTATTTTTTTAAGCTGTGGTATACAAAAAAAGGCGGGAAGATCCACAGACTATACTAGCATCGGCGAATCTAATATTTACCCCGTGGGGAAACAAAGGCCGAAAACTGTGTGTAGTTAAAATAAAGTTAACTAATATATATCGCGTTTTAAACCGTTAGTGTTTTATTTAAATGAGTCCTACTCGCGTAGACTACATTATTTAAATATTGACATGTCAAGTGTGCGTGTTCGAAGCGTGATAAAAGCATGTCAATTTATAGTTATGTTAGATTATTCGTAATCGTTAATTACTTAATGTTCGGTGAAAAATCGAATTATAATCTATTAACGGAATTAAGGAATATTAAGTCTAGATTGTAAGTGTAGTTTGGTTGCTTGGTCTGAAAATCTGGATATGGAAATGTGGAATATAGAAATTCCATCCAGGTCTCGAACCACCGAGCACAGATGACAAAGCCGTGAAGATTTATTGCCGGGCATTTCGGTCGCATTCTTCGGATTTCCGAATATCCAAAGCCAAAGCCTGTCGTCCTTTATCATTAAAATAATGTAATACTAAAAATATATAACATTCCACAAGAATTAAAAACGCGGCAAGTGCGGGTCGGCCTTCGCGCAATGGGTAAATTTGAGGCCCCGGTAACAGACTACAACTATAGTCCGTTTCTACCTTTGCATACGGAACCCTAAAGTCTCTCGTTAAAGTGTATATTGGATTTTTCCTTAAATACATAAAAATTGTGCTCGTGCTGTGAAAGCTTTTAGCGTGTGGTCATCGACATTTGGAATAACTGTCAATAGACTAAATATTAGCATTTTAAGAACATCGAGAGAAATTAAAAGACTATTTAAACAAAACATTTTTAACGGTTTAAACTCGAAATGCAATAATTAAAATTATTTAGACTACTGCTAGACGTTATACCTACGTAGTTACGACTAATACGTTTCGCGTTGTAAGCCGTAGTGTTTTAAATGTTTACTACAAAATCAAAGGTTCGATTTCAAATATTAAAGTTAAATTTATTTTAATTACAAGCGAGAGCTTTACAGACGGAACCACACTATATTTCGCGTTTTAAAGTAATAAATATTGAACACGGGAATAAACATGCTTTTTCTTTAAAAATGACAAACGTCTGTAGTTTAAGCGAGTAGTACACATTTAAATAAAACACTTTAACGGTTTAAAACGCGATAGATTAGTTACACTTATTTGAAAATGATTTTTAACTTCGGCCCGATGTTTCCCCGTGACCACGGCTGCTGCAAAGCATCCGAAACGTCGGGCCGAAGTTAAAAATCATTTTCAAATAAGTTTAACTAATATATCGCGTTTTAAACCGTTAAAGTGTTTTATTTAAATGACAAACGTATTGAGCCCGGGGCCTTGAGTACTACCCGGCCATGTTTGCGGCTAGACCAAGAATGCCCCGAGGGGGACGTCGGTCTCGGCTTGGACCGCAATGCGGGTGGGAGCTTGAAGAGAAGCACCCCAGCCATATTATAGCCTAACTAAACAAGATGCACTGTCGACCTGTTTAGGATATTCGGAAATCTAGACTGATTACGAGGATCTAGACTGGATCGAACCCAAATTATTTACGAAATAAGGCAAATAAAATAAGCAGTTTATTTATAAATTACTTTAATTTATTACATACAAGCATAGAGATGATTCAATTATCTAATGTACTTCTGGTTTCTGAAAAACAACTTATACTAAATGAGATTGCAGTGAAAACCTCAAAAGAGAACTCTTGCTTTTCTTCTCTTTTCTTTTCAGTTATTTACCTTTAAAAAATCTAAAAAGCTATGTATACACTTTGAAATTTAAAAGTGCAAAATTTTTAAATAATTCCAAATACAAAAAAATTCTTCAACTACCCTCGAATTCACAATAGACAAATACTGGGCAAACGCGATGTGTTTCGTCTTTCACATATAATATAATACTCTAATAAAACTTTACTATGTACATTCGAAGATATCATTGATATAATATAAAATAAAAATATATAATTTGTTCAAATACCTACGGTACTCTATACTAACGTTTCAAATTAACATTTCATAAATTAAAAATATATTTAGATTGATATAATGTCGCGCATGATATATTTTTTTTCAATCTAGATAGATGTTTAATTGATATAATGCCGAAACTGTCTGGAGTTTACGCGGGTGGTTACATTTAAATAAAACACTAAACGGTTTAAAACGCGATATAATTAGTGAAACTAATTAAAAAATTAAAATAAACTACGGCCCGACGTTTCGGATGCTTTGCAGCGGCCGTGGTCACGGTGAGACACGCCTGTTTAAATAATTTTCAAATAAGCTTAACTAATATATATCGCGTTTTAAACCGTTAAAGTGTCTTATTTAAATATTGCCATCGCGTGAAACTTGCGATAAATGGTCCAAATAAGTAATAATCACTACTCTCACGCATTCTACAAAAACTTTGTTCAATGAAATTGCTTAAAAGGGCCAAGTTGTACCCACGATGGAAGTGTTCCGTACCAAAGACTATCTAGCCAATAGGTACGGACCCTTCCCGTACGAAATTGTACCTACAATTTCATACCGAAAACTAAATACATACAAGTAATACATACATCCGATTGATAGACGGACATACATCATAGTGTTAGCATTGGAGCCCCGTTTTTGACCCAAGAGCCCAATCATACACTCTCTGTAGTTTACGCGAGCAGTACACATTGATTAACGCTTTGAACGGTTTAAAACGCCAAACCTATTACTTAAATAAGTTTAACTGCGTTGGAAAACTAGTATGTTTTGCATTTTAAACCGTTAAACGCGTTTCATTTAAGGAGTAATAATTCTGTAATTTCACGTTATGTTGCTATTGTCTCAAAGCTGGGTAGGTTTCCTGTCCTACGGTTAATAGAGTATAGTTAAAAATCTACATTTAATTGAAATAAAACACTAACGGATTAAAACGCGATACATATTGGTTTAATTTGTTTAAAGATTATTTTAACCACTGCCAGACGTTTCCGATGCTTTGCTGCCGTGGTCACATGGAGACCCCCGGGGGGGAGTAGTTGAAATAATCTCCAAACAATTTTCTTGTAGATATCGCGTTTTAAACCGTTGGTGCTTTATTTAAATGTGTACTCGCGTAAACTACAGACAGTATTTAATAAACATTTCACTCTAATTTGGCCTTATAGCAATGTTATCTTTCACATAAGCCAATTAAATAAAACCTAAAATAGAAAACTCTTACTAAGTCTATTTTAATATTTATATCGCACAAGATCTAAAGGGAGTGAACTCAAAATCGACATTTTTGTACACATTGTCCCACAATTAGGGGGGGGGGGAAAGTTCAATACCCCCCCCCCCTCACTTATAAAACATGAGAGTATTAAACTTGTAACAGTAGAAAACGTTTCCTACGTCTCGAAAGCTTTACAGCAGCTTAAAAATGCACTCCACACCAATATAAGTCGCGTTTTAAACCGTCGATAAACGAAGAAAACATCAATTTGGAAGCATACATTCCTTTAAACCTACGGTTCCTTATGACTAACTAGTTTCTCAATAGCCACATGGCTCCTGCTGGGACCGTAGTCCCAGCGCTGTTATTAGTTAATGCGGACCGTCAAATTTGTACACGTGGAAACAGTTGGCAGTTTTTTGAGTTACATCTCCTTTGATCTAGATGGGATCTATCTAGAATCTAATTCATTTTAAACCGCTAGAGACAGAGCAGCCTAACTGAAATTTTTATGAGATGACTTATTTATATTTCTATAGTCTACGAATGTTAATCTACAAGAGCACAGAAACATGTTAACAAAATTGGGCATTATTTTCCTCTTTATTAGATATCACGCTTTTCGCTATTAGGCCACTCTGCCTCTAGCAGCCTTATTTACCTAAGAGTATCAATGTTCATATATATAGGCCACCTCAATCCGTTTTTACACTTTGCTCGCACTATAGTACCTTCCGAACCTTCTTCATTGCACAATACTTAAGTGGATAATCTCCTTTTACGTAGGCGCCATCCTGAAACAAACGAATCTGTCATAAACAAAGGACGTATAAGCATATTTAAATAAGACACTTTAACGGTTTAAAATGCAATGTATTTTAGTTGTCGGCCTATTTTGGATATAGAGTCTTGGAACACTGCAGCGTTTTTTTTTTGTGGACGTTGTCTTATCCAAAGCGGAGTTGTATATTTTTTTAATTATATAGGACGGACAAAATATTTCACCTGAAAATATTGAAGTACTGAACTTCAGGTAAAGGGGTTGTAAGACTCAAATTCCGTCCGTCCGTCCACGGCGGTTCGTGATAAAAGTAGTGTGGTTCAGTCGCGTTTCAGTTTTAGTCTGTGCCTCTTCGAGTATCCCAAGTTACAACAGCCAAACAGCTCGAATTACCATCTCGATGTATAAGTAGCGGCACGGATTTCTAGCGCTGAACGAATCCTGCGCAGAAGTAAAAAATAAGGTATCCAATGGACGGAAGCGGGGCGCGGGACGAGTGGACGTCGTGTGCGCGAGCGTCGATTGGTTCCCTAGTGGTGTCGTGTTTCTCGGCCCAATGACGCCCCGTTTGCTTCGCGAGTACAGTCTCGTTCAGAAAGTTTTGAATTACGTTGATATAAAATTTTGTTGATATTATTAAACCTTGATTGTTTATTTCGTTTTATGTAAAATTAAAAGATAAGAAAACCCAAAACATTTAGTAATTTCATAATATCCATTTAGTTTTTTCCATTCAATTTTCTGCGCGACTGTACAGATATGCAACTATCCCCTCTACATTTCATTCAGCGCTAAACATCCGTGCCGCGACCTATATAACTTTTAACTAAGATAATGTTTTTCTCTGCCAAAAAGGGGTAATTTAATACTTACATTGCGGCTAACGGCGAGGTGGCAGTCGGTCGCACTCCTTAGTGGAGAGCGGCCCCCGCGGCGAGGTCCACACAGAGGACAGCCGCGGGGGCGGCGCGCCCTCAGCTGCGACGGTGGCGCCCCCCTCGACGGCGACGCTCGCGGCGCACCTGCAATTAAACAAGATTGTCATAATGGCATCACTGTACTAACAAATCTGTTAGGAATTTTTAACTTAAACTTATTTGTCATCGGATTTCACTAACCGCATGTATGCAAGACCATTTGTAATTTAAATAAAACACTTTAACGGTTTAAAACGCGATATATATTAGTTAAACTTATTTAAAAATGATATTTAACTTGTCTCCCCGTGACCACGGCTACTGCAAAGAAGTCCGAAACGTCAGGCCGAAGGTAAAAATCATTTTCAAATAATAATGATTTCAATAATAATATATCTCGTTTTAAACCGTTAAAGTGTTTTATTTAAATGTGTACTACTCGCGTAAACTATAGACACCATTTGTAATTATCCGTTTTTTAAGTAATAAGTCTGTCTGGCTACCAATTTCAATATCAAATAGTCCCACTTAGATTATTGTATGTGTACTTAATCAAACTACGGGTTTTAACACTCGTTGTGTAGGGTAGGGATCTTAAGGTCTATAATATGTTTACTTACCGGCAACGCCTCGCCATCAGCCCATCGCTCGTAGGCTCGTTCCCGCTTCAACCACTCTTGGTATTTGTACCACCACTCCTCCCATTTCACATAATCACCCAGCGAGAGACCTGAATGTTATAAATTATAGCTTTACAACAAAATACATTTATCAACACCATTTCGTTAAGACTTTAGCATGATAGCTAGTTACTAAAGATATTATTTTAGATCCACAGACTGCTACCCAAATGCAAACTTTACAGCTTTGTCATCTGTGATGTTCGTGACCTGGACTTAATACCCATTTAATATCTAAATTTCTCGACATGTCCCACATGTTACAGTATAATTATAAATATGTTGTACCCACCCCATTTGGTTCCAATCTACGACCAGTTTGGGTTCTAGCCGAGCTCGTCAAGCCAAAACGATTAAAGTACGTCTCTAAGTAAAGCACGCATTAACGATAAAGATAAAATCTTACCCCTGAGATATCCACGCCGCTTGTAGTAGTCATATCTGACCCGAACGTCGTCCCACGACGGTAGGCCGCCAGGTGCCACCGCCAAGAGTTCTTCTGGATAACTACCGACAGGAGCTGGCTCTAGACCCCTACAATCAAAGGAAATAAAAATGAGAGCAAATAAGGAAAGGAGTTATGCTGAGAATTGAACTAATTATTATTTTTTTTCCATATTGATAAATTAATTAACTTCTAACTACAAATATGGGACAAGAGCTGCAAAACTGCTGCAGCTGCAGTTGCTGCACATTTTGCTAGAGATAGTAAGTTTATATATCAAATTTTAGACATGCAGACTAGAAGATTTAAAACCAATTTCATTAAAATTGTTTCAGGGTTGTTTTTTTTGGGGACCCGTCAAAAACACACAATTTTCTGGGCAAATTTGTTAATGTTTTTAATTATTTATTGCATTATTAATAAAATTCACTTGATTAAATTATTTAAAAAAAATAAATGTCCATCAAACTTGAAAAGGTTATCATTGAGAAGCATTGCCTGTGGTTTAAAACGTTATATATTAGTTAACATATTTACACTTTAATTTAACTCTGACCCGACGTTTGGGGCGCTATGCACTTCACACAATATACACAGTCGATTAATTTTACCACACTTATAGTTTTTTTTTCACTAGTAAAACACAACACTTTAAGTTATCAATAATTGTAATTCATTCTAGTGTCTGCAGTTAAAAACAAAAAGATAAAAATTTTTTTAGCTAATTCAAAAAGGAATAAACGTCTAAACTCTTCGACCGATTTTAATGAAATTTTTCATATATTAAACCTGGTATTAAACGATCTGTTGTGGTATCACCCTGTATATAATTTCTTATCAACTCACGGCAAGTCCTCATCAGCCGCCCTATCCCTGGGAGATAGCGACCTGGGCCTCGAATCGCGGGTCGGTGGGTCAATATGCACGTCCAGACCGGCTTCACGCCGCGTGATCCGCATGTTCATGTTGTCCACGCGGGCAGACCTCGCCGCCGACCACTGCGCCATCTTTCCAAATCGCTCCGAGAGGGTTAACCTGTACAATAATGGGCCTATTTGAGAATGCAAAAAAATTTGCGTCAATTACTGTTATTTATGTAAGTGTTAAGTATAAATTAGAGACGCACCGAGTAACGAGTACCGAGTACTCGGCTCAATTTTCCTTCAACCAAGTACTCGGCCGAGTAACTCGGCTCACTCAAATTCCCACTTTTATTACTGCTCTCGTAATTTTGCCTCATCACTACTCATACATTAGCATAATGTTGATAAATACTTATTAAAGTGTTGTTTTAATTATATCTACCTAAATATTTCCTTTCTTAGACAAAGTATACTCGTTATCAAATAACAGTATAACCGAGTTTTCGGCCGAGTACGAGCATCAAAAACCCGCCGAGTACTCGGACCGTCTCTAGTATAAATTGAGAAATAGTAAAACTTATAAATAAAACACTAACGGTTTAAAACGCAATATATATTAGTTAAACTTATTTAAAAATTTGGCATGCAGCAGCTGTGGCCACGGGGAGATTAAAGATGGAGGGTGTCTCTGACTTGAAAATAAAAACTGCTAAGCTAGCGCCTTCTGTTTCGTCGAAGTTGGTATTTGGCGCAAACTTTGGCCAAAACCTACTAATTTTTTTGTACTACTCGCGTAAACTTCAGCCAGTAGTTAATAGTAAAACAGTCACGTGTTAAAAATAATAATTGATAAAAATAAACTATATTTTTATAAACATTAGTGTCACATAACGCTCCTGATTGGTCGGGTTTATGATGACGTCACTTGCTTTTAATCCGTGCTTCCTAGACTTAGGAAGTTCTATTCTTGGCACAGTAGTCTAACAGCAATTTTATGACTTGACTTATTTATATTTTTATAGTCTAAAAATGTTAATCACAAGGGCCGAAAATTATGAACATAATTTTTTATACAAATAGCTAATTGCGCATTTTTATTTTCTACCTTCTTGAAAATCATGTTTTAGTTATTAGGCTACTTTGCCTCTAGCACCCTCATATGTAAGTATCAAACTAAATTCAGACCTCTGAGGCGGGGGCGAAACACTAGCGTCGCTCTCCGAATCCGACTCGCTGTCGGCGAGGGCTGCGGCTATCGCTGCGGGCGAGACCCCGCGCTCCGCCCTCTCCCTCTCCGGGCGCTCCCGACGTCTCTCGCCTTCGCGTTTGATCTGCGCAGGTGGTATCGGCGCGGCCGGGCGCACCGCAAGCTGCGAACGCTGCCATTCTAACACCTGGAAGGAAATGATGATGCTGGTTAGAACGTTGCTAGGAATCCTGCATACTTTTTTTTTAATGATAGAGGACAGACATGGCATCTAAACAAGATGCGCGGTCGACCTGTTTTGGGTTTAGAAATTCGAAATTTTATACTGAAATCGAAACGCTATTAAGCTTCACGGCTATTTCAAGCCGTGAAGCTTAATAGCGTTCTCTAATAAATAAAATCCAGAATTCCAGACAAAGACCAACATGTTTCAGAAGAAAATTAGAAACATGTTGGACCTGGTGGGGGGGGGGGGGAACCCGTTGATCATTAGCCATACATTGCTGCCATTAGACAAAATTATTATTACTATGGATGTGGTGGGGTCCGGTCAATACTAGCCGGACGTTTTGGCCAACACAAAAGAAACATTAATGTGGTCAAGTTTTGTTTCTGATCAGTCTTGCTTTTATGTTAAATAAAGTATCTTTTAATAGATATCATTTTTGTTTAAAATATGTTACAACCAACAACTATTAATTAAATATTCTAATGTCCTTGCGCTAGCTAAGTAAGAAGGGTTGTTAACCATCCATATCACATATTTTTTGTGAATTTTTTTTAATAATATGGCATCAACAAATTAATTATTTTTTTACACATTCAAATCTCTCAAATAAAACCATGAATAGACTACCTTCTCTTCCCTGGTCCTCTTGCTAGCCTCCCTCGCCTTTAACAGTTCTCGTGTTGGCAAGACAACCCCACCACTGGCACCAGGGGGGCGTTTCGACGGAGACGGGTGAACACTAAAAGAAATATTTACATTAGGATATTGGTCTAATTTCCAAGTTAAATTCAAAAATCTACTCAATTTTTTTTTGATTTGATTTATTTTAATTTTTTTTATTTTAATATCTTTTGGTACTTTTTTAATCTGTACTAATACACTCATCACAGTGCGTGACGTCATTTGTGGGCAAACATTTCACCTATTTATCAAACAGCAAATATCATTTTAAATACTTTATTTATTAATTTCAAAAAATCAAAGTTATATTTATTATAATTATTTAAGTATGCATCAATCTAAAATTAAGTTTCTGAAAATTTGTATAATCATCTATTGCAATTAAGAAAATATTTCATGTTGTAATGAATGTTTTATGACAAAAAATTACTTTTAAAGTAGAGTAACTAAGAAATTTGATATTCTAACACTCACGGTGGCTTGGCACCTGGTGGTGGTTTGGGAGGGGGGGCACTCGGCTTCTTGTTCTTGGCCGAACAGACAGAACAAGATTCATCAGAACAACTGCTTGCTGAAGATCCAGATGAAGACTGTAAAAGGATAAATACATAAGTTTCGGACGCATTGGTAATATGGTAGCAAAGCAATATTTGGTTAACTCCTAAAAAGTCCAATGTCGCGCAAGTACCTTTCTAGGGTCTGGCGGGCTTGGTGGTCGATTTCTGGGTGCCGGTGGTGGTGGTGGCCTACCACGTTTCGTTCTTGCTGGCACAGGGCTCCGTCTATAATATTGACATTAGAATCAGGTCAAAACTTGTAAAGGTCAGATTATATTTTATAGTCATAAAAGGTAGTCCTTGTTTTAATAACATCTATTTAATTTGCGCTGTTGGCCTATAATGCCTATGGTAATTGTATTAGATCTATACTTTGTCTAATCACACCTACTAAGTTATGGTTCTAAATAAAATTACTAAGTATACATAAGTAGCACACATCAAAATTCTAATCCAATGATTATAAATCAATATTTCATGTCCTATTTCCGGGGGGTCCTATTTATAAGCGGGGTTTGGGGCAGATACATTTCTGTTCGTTTATCAATCGATAGATGATGACATAGAGCGGTTCAGACTTTCTGTGCCTTACCTGACAAAACAATGGCTACATGTAGTTGTTCAGGTCATATTTATCTTACCTTATGGGACTCCGTCTTGGGCTGCGTCGTATGGACCTTGACCGCGACTTTCGTGGCGTCCGGCGAGTTATCGGTGACCGCGACCGGCGTACAGGCGTTCGCGACCGACGAGGTGGTGGTGACCGCCTGATAGGTGATCTGCGAAAGTAATGGTTGGGCTTAGTTTAAAATGATTTAAAAAAAACTTTTAAAGTAATAAAGACCACGAGCACATCCATCTGTACTAATATATAAAGCTAGAGTTTGTTTAAACATGCTACTCTCAGGAACTACTGGTCAGGTTCGAATTGAAAAATTATTTTTGTATTGGTTGTTGGTTGGCAGTTATCGAGGAAGGTTGTATAATATCACGATGCGACAGAAACATCATCAGCGGGAAATATAAAATGGTGAAAAGGGGAAAAAATAATTTTTTTAAAAAAAAAAAAAATTTATTTATTTTTTTAAAAGGGGGCCCCCCCCCCCAAAAAAAAAAAAAAAAAAAAAAAATTTTTTCAAAGAAAAGAAAAAACAACTTTTGTACCTAACTTAAAGGTGTGCACAACTTTAACTAATATATTAAAAAAGATTAAAAAGAGAGTTTTTTACATAACAATTAAAACTACAGATTAGGTAGAATTAAATCAAATAAAACAACTAATTAAAATTTATGATGGATTCAAAATAATACAATAGTAATAATTGACTATACTACTACTAAAAATATGTATTAATTTTGTTTACCGTGATCGTCTTACTGGTGATCTGGAACGACGTGGAGATGATGAACCATTCCTGTCTAAGTACAGTTGTTTGTAGCCAGTGTGTCTCCACCTATGACATGCAAGAATCAACTTAATACACATATTAAAAAATACACTTCAAATCAAATTTACTATTTTATTTTTCGATTAATACAATAATCAAATTAATCTTAAATCTACTTTAATAATTTGATGAATGCGTATTCAATAATTATGTGATATCAATTTATTAAAATATTTTTAAATTACTAAAGAAAATGTTATTAATCAATAAACAAACAAAAAATACTTTATTTTGAACACAATGTTACAAAATAAACTTAATTAAAAATTAACAAAATGTAGCGAGAAAAGGCGGCCTTATCGCTAAAAAGCGATTTCTTCCAGGCAACCTTAAAGATAGAGATTTACAATAAGACATAATAATAATAAGGGTAACACTACAGCTATAATAAGTTTATACAATACTAAGTATAATATATTTTTCATCTGCACTGTAAAAACCGTATGTGACGTCTTTTTGTAGGCAATAATTGGGTACACTGATTGTATGCACCCCACCACATCACTTTCAAGTACTTTGAAGATTTTTATATTGAATAAAACCTTCTTATATGGAAATAATAATCCCATAAAGTTTTGCAATTTTGAGGGCATAAAAATGATAATATCCCAAATATAAATTTATATTAGACATAACTGAATATTTATCTGTGTCATCTAATGCTCGAATACTTGTCACTATCAAAATCAGTAGTCAAAGAGTAAACACAATATGGTATCAACCAAAGCCCAAGCATATTGGATTTGGAACTTCATTTTCCAAAAACATACAGTAGACTCAAACCTCATAATCTTTTATATAAAACACTTTGACGGTTTAAAACGCGATTCTTTGCAGCAGCCATCTGAACTGTTGGGCTGTAGTTAAAATAATTTCCAAATAAGTTAATACATTTCACATTAATAATCTTATCTCCTATTTGGATCCTTCTCTTCAACTTGCAGCAGCTTTCTGTCCCAACTGCCAGGTGAAGACTGGCGAGCTCTCTTCATAACATTATCTATCTCCTTACGACGTCCAGCTGGATTTGATGGATCTGCAATAAGATTTGTTTTCATAACATTTTTAAGTAAAAGTTACATGGTATTCTTAGCATTTGTTAATTGTAACTTTAATGTTGTTGCTATACTATAAAATTTAAAAATCAAAAATAATTTGAACAAAAAAAAATTGACGCGGGCAGGACTTGAACCCGGCATCGTCAGCGTTCCGTGCTGTTACTTTACTGATGTTACAGAACTGCCGGTACAAGTCCTGCTTGAGTCATATTTTTTTTTCAATTTAATTTAGATTTTTTAAATTTGTTGTTATTATTTTAACTTTCATTAAAGGCCGAGTAGTGCTTCCGAGTAGTTCAGTAGCTGCTGACCTTCACCCACCCACTCTTCCCCTGCAAGTATGTGTGATTATCTTCCATTCAGTTTCTTTCTGCCTATTCCTGCCTATATGCTTTCATAATCTTAATACCTGTGCCATGTTTAGTACTATAATTCAATTTCAGTTATATTACTCTTCTGTCCAAGAATAACATTGGTAAATAGATTTCAATAACACAGTGTGTAAAAATTGTCCATACCAGTAATTTTAGTGTGTTGAGGATTTCTGTCCATGTGCAGCCGGTTTTTAGAAGCTGTCTCCGCTGCGCGGGACACAGAGCCATTCCGACGGGATGACATTCTGCAACCAGTATTACAATTTACAATACCACTTAAAACTTTACTATAGTAAAGTACACTGCAATTGACAACTTTATTTACAAATGTTACTGCATTATATATTAAAAACCTATTTACGTGGGTAAAATTTTACAACACTGACAGGACACAAACTGGCAGCAGCAACAAGATTAGGAACAGTGTTCTATGCAGCTGCTCTAGGTTACAATAAATAAATTGCAGCAGCAGCACAGAACAATGTCAAAGATTTCTAATTTATACACTGAAATTTATAAGTACCTCCTGTACTACTAGTAGTAGGCTACTTGTACTTGTTTATTTTTTCTAATATTCTACTTTTTTAAGAATAGGAAAGTAAGTGTCTCTTTATTATCACAGTTTAGTACGCACTTAAAATAAAAACTAGAATGCACTATATACACTAAGGAGATTTGTTTAGTCTTATACAAAAGTGGCTTACGTAGATGTAGACCTATGGTTTTGTATTTAAAATTTCATGTTTATTTACCAAAACAAATAAATAATCAAGCAACACCTTTATCTTCTGAAGATTAGAAATATGCTATCTCTTTTCTAAATAACCAAAATAGTTTATTTTATAACTGTTTACTGAGTGAGCAGATATACCATATAGTCTACAGATCTCATTGTTATGGTGCAGTACAAATAATTATTTGTTGAGCTTCGAACTCGCTAAATACTTACGGGAATCTATAATAATTACTTTCACAAAATGGCGGATATTGATCCGATAGCCACTCACCTGTAACTCTATGAAAGCTTACCTAAGTAACTCCGACTTTTCTAAGTGGAGCAAGGGCTCCAAACGCGCGCGCGGCTAGACACGAAGGGGCGAAGCCCCAGGGCGCGGGCAGCGGCGTCACACGGCGAGACGCGAACGCCAAATCCGCCGCTGCAACCCAAGCGACATACTTAGAAACACGACAACGCGACGCGACGAAATCGCGAAAATATCGCGCGAACGAGTCTTGGCCACGCCAGGTGAACATGCAACCTTCGGGCCGACGCGACGACGGCCTCCCGATATAGGCCAAACGATGACGTATCACCAACATAATACTCCTTGTGGCATCCATTGTGCAATGTAATCCTGGCGTAGACAAAGCTAAATCCACCTTAAATTATCACAATACAAAGTTACGAACCAGTATAACATCAAAAACTTTCACAGATGTTCAATGATGATTAGCCGGTGATAACTCGTTATTAAAATTCACGACACACCTTTCTCGAAGCATCGGCCATTTTGTGATTTGCAAAATTGTCTCACTTTTGATTTTGATGTTTGACAGTTGCATTGACAGTTAACATGTTATATAGACATTATCATTAATGTTGTTGGTGTTGTAGATAACTTAATATTATGGCAAATTTTAATTAGGAAATTATCAACTGAATTTTGATATAATGGGTTATTTTACAATTCGAAAAATATAGCATTAATCACTATTATAAGTAAATTTCAGTTTTGAAATTTTATAGTAAAACAGTCGCGTATGTTAATAAGAATAATTAACTTTTTAAACATATTTTATTATCTGATTGGTCGGGTTTATGATGACGTCATTTGCTTATAAACAGTGCTCTAAATCACCGTACTGCCTAATGTTAAAACCACACTATACTTAATACAGTATATTACAGCGTTTCCTAACAACATTTCCAGACAAAGTCTAACATGTTTCAAAAAAATATAAATTGAATAGAATAATGTTGGAACCATGACTCGTTGATTGTTAGCCATACATCGCTATTATTACCCCAAAAGAGCCTGTCAAATTGGGAACAAATAAAACTCGTACATAAAGTAAAATAATTTATTAAGGCCAAACAATACTTTCTATCCAAGGTACATAAGCGGCGACTTTAGTGTATATTCCAGGTTGACCAATAACGCCGCAAGCCCGCCCAAATGACGTAATACCAATCACTGTGTACATGCAGCTGATTTGCTTGTGCTTCAATTGAAGAGGGCCACCGCTGTCACCCTGAAATTGCAATATTCGTAACTACCCTCAATTTTTATTAATTTTATTAAAGTGCTGAATGGAGTTGTAATTTAACGCAAACGCCAGAAATATTTTAAATACACATATATCTTCTGCTTTCCGTTTTGATGGCGAACGGCGTCCGCCTTTTCTTTATCTACCGTGAAACTACCGAAGCGACAAAAATATCATTGGAATTATTTTCAATTTATTTTGAATACAATAATTTAATCATCATATAACTTGATTATCTGTATTCTACAGCAGTACAAAAAAGAAAAGTTTTCTCTAAATATCGACTGCGATGAAATAGATGGCGCCAAAGTAACAGATTTGACTTTGATATTATGGCCACCCTTCATCTTCAGTCCCCCGTAAACTTAACACAATAATTATATTCTATATATTTCGCCTTTTACATTGAATACGATTTATATGAATAAAAATATAATTCGATGTTTTAAACACAATTAAATTTCTATAGAATAAATCTCGTGTTTTTTGATCTATCAGAAAGTGAGGATAATATAAAACCCTTTTTTTCTCATTCATATTTTTTATGTCATATCTTTCACTCTTTAAATAGTGTAAAATTATAACTATGTCGAATTTTGTTCCTTATAGCCTTATATAATCGTTTTGTCTTATAGCAGATCTCACCTGACACGTATCTTTAGATTTCTTCTTGTCTCCGTAACAGATCTGTGTACGTCCGTCGAAACCGTTCTTCATCAGTCTGTTAGGACCGAACATCTTTGAACACTCGTCCGTTGTAAACTTTTCAAGTATTACCTGAAGCAAATTGAGGTTTAATTTTAGATTTCCTGTATTTTAGCGATTAGTGCACATATAAATAAAAACACTATTAAAAAAATACGTTAGTTAAACTTATTTGAAAATTATTTTAACTATGTCCCGACGTTTCGGATGCATTTTACCAGCCGTGGACACCGGAGGACTAAAGTTGGAGGGTGTCTCTCCGGTGGTTATCTTTACCCCGTGACGTCGCTGACATTGATATACTGTCGCGGACATCTGTTTTGTTTTCTTGCGCCGTTTTCGCAGCGCACGCAACGGACGCCCTTAAAGATCATTTTCCCCATTTTTTCCACACTTGTATGTTATATAGTGATGACACTTTTGTTATACAGCCTTAGATTTTCCTCGATAAACGGTCTTACCAACACGATAATATTTTTCCATTCGAACTAGTAGTTCCTGAAATTAGCGTTCAAACAAAAAAAAACAAGCTCTTCAGCTTTATATTTTAATTATTTATTTCATTCTATTGCGATAGACATATTATATACATATTTCATAGTGATGTTTTTGTCAATTCACCCAAGATGCTCGTAAAAATGTCGATCCCCTCTTGCAGCTTATTAATAACATACATAGCACGAACAAGAGGGGATTTCATCAGCAAGTTGTTGCGTGAGTACGGTCGTAATCGCCTCCACACGTATCTGTCCGGAACAGACAAGTGTAAAGACTGTAGAACTCCTGGGTTCAACTCTGGACCCCGCAATATTTTTACCACATATATCACAAGGAATAAGTCCCTCCGTACCTTCAATTCATTGTACCCGACCATACCTAATATAAAAAGAGTCGGATATATTAAAATATTAGAATAGATATAGTGTGGCTTGGTGGGTATGGCTAGCATGATTTGTTTATCTGAGATCATTTAGGGAAGCTGTTCTGAACTTACTTTTTGTAATATGTTTGACGATGCTCCACGGTTTTCCGTCGCCCCCCATCCAGTCGCAAGACATCTATTATAGTCGTTTGGAGCACCAATATCCAGACAGGCCGGGACCGCAGATTCTCCTAGTTTCATCCTAAAAAATACCAGTTATTTATTCCTACTTAAAGGTAATGAGCCACAGATTAAAACAAAAACGGCGTTTTCTAGTGGTTTAAGTATTATCTGTGGTTTATTCGAATAGTATACATTGAAATACAACACTATAAACGATTTATAACGCGGAATAAATTTGCAGGGACTTTCGCGAACTCCGAAATAAAATATAAATAACTTTATAACTTCGTTCTTTAAAAAATAACTCTTTGCGTTTGAACTCGCCATCTTTGATCGCTCTCTCTCCGTCCCTTTCACACACATCCTAACGCTCGTTCTTACATTTCATTCCATCCATACCACATAATATAACTTAATTTATTTTTATTTTATTTGCAGCAGCTATGGCCCGTAGTTGAAAAAAAATTCGTTTAAAAATATATTTCGCGTTTTAAATTGTTAAAATTGACTTATTTAACATGCAGTTTTTAATAATAATATAATAAAAAATATATACATTTCAAAACGTTACTTTATACATTTCGCTTTTTAAATCGTTAAGTGTTTTATTAATTAAATAATTTCAAAATAAATCAACTAATATACTTAGAGTTTTAAACTGTTAATAGTGTTTCATTTAAATACTTGTACTTTCATGTACACTAACCGCAGCTTTAGTATTCTTAAGCGTAGTCTTTGTCACGATTAAATGACGGCACTGCCTTGATACTATAGTGCTTAGTGATCACGAAGTCCAGATTTGAATCCCGGATAGGGCGTCATATTATTTCGGTAATTTTCTGGATCTAATGCCTAGAGATGAATTTAGGGGATGTCATCACCCCCTTCACCACCAGAGCTTCGGAGACCACATGTCACATTTAGTCCCAGTTAAAGGCTCACTAACCTTTACTGGAGCAGCGAGGAATCTGTGCCCAGCAGTGGGACCAATACTCACGGTCTATCAGTTTCCAAGAGGGCGATATCGTTGTACCGTCGTGGTGGGTCGTATTGTGGATGTTTAATAACTCGTTTGATGTTGTACAGATCATCATTGTTTATGGGTTCCGTACGTTTGAGGACACCCAACAGAGCGTACTTTATGGGACCACTGCAAAATAAAAACAAACAAATAAAATGTTAAATATTGTCTATAGTTTACGCGAGTAGTACACATTTAAATAAAACACTTTAACGGTTTAAAACGCGATATATTAGTTAAAAACCATTTTCAAATAAGTTTAACTAATATATCGCGTTTTAAACCGTTAAAGTGTTTTATTTAAATAAAATGTTTTTAGAAAAATCATTCATTGAAAAATTAGAACTTGTTGGACACAGCGGGGGTCGAACCCACGACCCGTGGATTATTATTGATATTGTCATATTAATTCGTTTTTTCTGGCAACAAAGTACAAGGTTTTTAAGCTGCGCAGGCGACGGGCGTGTTAAATGCTAATTCTATTGGCGGTTTCGTTGGTGTAGTGGTAACAATGTATGGCTAACAATCAACGGGTCGTGGATTCGATCCCCACCGGGTAAACATTTTTCTAATAAATTTATAATTTCTCTGAAACACGTTGGAGTTGTTCTGGAAATCTGGTATTAAATGGGTGGTAACAACATCGAAATTAACACGAACCCTTGTTGAGTAAAGCTCATGCTCGCCTGTACGTCACTGTCATTAGAAATGTATATATTATAGTCTATGGTTAATCTTACGCGTCACGGCTGTAGGTACAGTGTCCAGCAGTCAAGATGAAGCGGTCGCTAATCAGAGTACCACCACAGTCCCATTGTGCGGTTTGAGGAGTATCCCCGAAGCCGAGAAGTACCTGGTCGAGATGAAGATGTTAGTGGAATCTTGGTTATTGGCATCGTGTGGCTTGCATGATATATTTGAGTTAGAAGCCCAATGATGGGTAATATTTGTATGAAAGGTGATCTGTTTAACTATAATTGTATCGGTTAGCAGGTTTTTAATCTTGTAAAATAATCTTGTCTCAATGTTAGTTGTCTTACGCCTCAGAAGCGGCTCGACCGATTTTTATGAAATTTTTATGCATTTTTAATATCTATTTTCATAACCGTAAGTGACAAGGGTTGCTCAGCCTTACCATTGCTTGTTTTTATTTTTCAATAATTTAACATTTAATAAATACCAACCCCTATTTTTTATAGGAATTTTAGTAATTTAATATTTTTACTCGATAGTTGATCAATTATGGTGTTTTTGTATATGTTTTTCACGCTTTAAAATTTCCCCGAGCTTGTGGATCTGCCAGTTTATATAAAGTTCTCTTGTAATAGTGTTAGTTACTAAACTCCTCCGAAACGACTAGACCGATTTTTATGAAATTTTTAGTAGTTCTAAGAATCGGTTAATATCTATCTTTCAAAACCCTAAAAGAAGGGTTTTAAAAAAAATATAATAAACTATAAAATTATTTTTATTTTTTATGAGGTCCTATTAAAAAGTGAAGAACCATAATTTTTTTAACACTTCTATCACTACAAACTTATTTCTTGTCATCGAGTATTTTGATATTTTAGTGTTGTTATATGTGCGAGAATTGTATATTTTTGTCATCTTAGTGTTACCATATGTGGAAACTCGTTCTTTGCAGCCTGGACTCCCCCCACAATCAGGTCCACATAATTGTGGTTGCATCTGTTCACTCTAGCGAGATCTCCCGTCAACGCTGTACTCCGTTCACAAGGGTACACCAGTGTCTGTTGATATTCTATACACTCTGCGAAAAAATCGACATTGAAGGCCAAAAAAAGGTCAGTATCACAGGCCGCATTTAGTTGAAACGCGGAAACATTTTGTATGGGTTTAACGGAATGAATCATTATTTTTAAGTGGTTTTAAAAATCGTTTTACAAACTGTTCATAATACATAATTCTCATATGTGCACTTGAGCGCTGTTAAATAAAACACTATTAACGGTTTAAAATGCTAAATATATTTAAGTCATAAGGACGACTCGACGTCTTGCGTGCTTTGCAGCAGCCATGGAAACGGGGGGGTAATAATTACTAATATATTTCGCGGTTGAAACCGTTAAAAGTATTTAATTTAAATCTTTGCTCGCGAAAACTACAGCCAGCAGTAGAGAGTTTGTGTACATTTATAGCAATTTTTTTTTGAGTGGAAGTCGAACCACCAATTACAGAGTGCCGTGCTGTTGCACCTCAATCCTTGATCACCGGTTCATCTTTTAGCTATAGTTCAGTGTCGTCTGTACGTGCATTCGATTCCCGGGGAGTTTAGCATGTTGGTACATAATTTTCTGTTTTCAACTGTTCTTCCAAACATGTTTTTACGGTTTAAAAATGTATTTATTTCTCAAATGATTACATACAATCTCTTACTGAGAAACTAGGGTAATTTCATTTAAAACTTAACTAGCATTTGGTGCTACCCGCACCGTCTTATTAGTTTACAATACAAGTTTTATTTGCCTATATAAACTGACTAGACGGAGCTATTTTTAGATCGCGATAGCGCGGAGGCATGCGTTCCACTGCGAGCTCCACTATTTAGTTGTGACATTATTTTGCTTTAAGTTAACAATATAAATAAGTTAAGATATAAAAATCGAAAATAAATTGAAAAAATTTTCGCGGCATCGGGCAGGACTCCGTGATGTTGCTCTACCAATTAGCTACCGACTCCTACACCTCATCGTCGAATTTTTCAACTTATGGATACATGAACCTCTCGCGCAGTGTAATTTCAACCTTAACACTTGCGTGCTAAGGTTCAATGTCTTATGCTTTGCAGTGTAAGAAATCATTAAAGATGAAATTACAAAGTTATAGGGTTTGAAAACATTAATATTTTTCACATGTTATTGCACATGAAGGCACTATATAATTTAAAAATCGAAATAAATTGAAAAAAATTTTTTTTTGTTAAGTTTGAAATTACACTGCGCGAGAGGTGCTGTATCAATAAGGTGAAAAAATTCGACGATGAGGGAGCAAGCTCCTCGGTAGCTCAATTGGTAGAGCAACAGCACGGAAAGCTGACGATGCCGGTTCAAGTCCTGTCCGAGTCGAAAATTTTTTCAATTTATTTTCGATTTTTAAATTATATAGTGCCTTCATGTGCAATGTGAAAAATATTAATGTTTTCAAACGTTATAACTTTGTAATTTCATCTTCAATGATTTCTTAAGCTGCAAAGCATAAGACATTGAACCTTAGTACGCAAGTGTTAAGGTTGAAATTACACTGTGACTAACAATGATATTATACATTATTTTTATTGAGTGTATCCCTAAGACTTAGAATATGGTTTTTTAAGTTTTTTTTTAGCATTTGAAAACTTTAATAATGTTCACATGTTTTTGCAAATGACGGCGTTTTATAATAAGAATCAAACCGGCTCTTTTGTTTAATGGTAGCAACTAGCAATGTATGTTAATAATCAACGCGTCGCGGGTACGACCCCCGTGTTCTTATCAATATTTAATTTTTTCTGTAACATGTTGGACTTCGTCTGGAAATCTGGATATTAAATGTGTAGGAACATCGAAATTCCGTCCAATCACGTACCACTGTCCACAGATGAAAAAACCGTTCAGCCAAATGGTTAAACGTATTGCCCAGCATTGCGGTAGGCGCAAGAGTTCCTGGGTTCGAAAACCAGGGAAACATATTTTGTCGGGCAGGGCACAGAAGTCTGATCGACTACTTGACACAGAAATGTGCTCGCCCCATGCCCAACGAGGGGGAAACGGTCTTTCACTTTTTTTTTGTCTGTTCTGTATAAAGTGACTTACTATCCCATGCCTTCTGTCCTGTCTTAGTGGCTGTTCTGTCTGGACCCAGCGGCTCGCATGCGTCACCAGAATCGTCGTTGTCTTTGTAATCGTACACAGGTGGTACGTACTGTGTGGTTGTTGTTAACGGCCTAAGTCACAAGAAAACCACGCTAATAATAATGTAATAAACCAAAAAACTATTTACTTATTATTTATAAATATATTCTACCATAACAGATATATATATATATATATATATATAATATATATAATTCGATAGAATTCTTTCATTTTTTACAACTAATAACATATCTCAAAGACGGATATTTTTGTCAATACACCCAACTATGTACCTACGAAAGAATGATTCTCCTTGCTATGATCTAAACCAAATGTCCACAACAGTATAAGTCTATACTAGCTGTGCCCGCGACTTCGTCGGCGTGGAATAGTGACTTGGGGGTGAATTATTAATTATTTAGGCTGTTTATTAATGTATGTAAGGGTGCATTTCAGGCAGCCAATCTATTGTTAGTGCTACTTTGCCGCAACACTCTCACCTTACATCACTCTTACTATAACTCCCACTCCCACGCCCTTCTCACTCCTATTTCCAAAAAGCCAAAGACGAAAGTTTCATTGTTCTAGCTTCAAAAACCACGAATATCCATACAAACTTTACTCCTCTTTTTCAACCCCTTTTTTGGCATTTAAACCAGTTTAAATCAGTTCAGTAGTTTCGGAGTTAAAGCGGGACAGACAGACAGACAGAGTTACTGTCGCATTTATAATATTAGTATAGATTTTAAGATTAACTCCACCTCTCTACCTCTACCTCTCTCTAACTAAGTTTTGTACTCTCTCTAACTGTACCTTTTCGTTGTAGTAGCTACAGGCCTCATGTATCGATCATTGTTATCAACGCAGCAAACAATAGGATCGGTTCCAACGAAACTGCATATCTGGAAAAAATATATATTTTTAATAAAACACCTCTCCACCATCAGTACCCCCCGTGACCACGACTGCAAAAGCTCCGAAACGTCGGCCTGTAAATAAAGTACATTAAAAAATAATTTGTTTCGCATTTTAAACTGTTAAACGTGTTTCATTTATGAAACATTAATTTAAATTAATTATATAATATCGACCACATCGACAAAATTGTAGCTTCAGCCTCGTAATGTTCGGCTTTTGTTTTGCGAAATACAAAGTGTTTTAAAAAATCATCCACGTCGTTGCTACTGTATAATGCACTAGTAAGATCCAAATTAGAATACTGTAGTCAAGTATGGAATCCTAGCTACGCAGTCCATAAAAATAGGATTGAAAACATACAAAAAAGATACTTAGAACGCTAGCCCTCCGGGAACATTTACGCAAGATGTGTGCATCCTTTCGTATTCCCTTGTGCAGGACACGACTTGGAGTCGATTCCGTGTTAAACAGACTGTGCAAAACGTATAATGAACTGTTATCGAAGATTGACATCGACATAATGTTTGACACATCCCTTACTTTTAAAAGAAAGATCAAAGCTTACCTAAACACTGTTTTTGAATGTGTTATTTAGTTATTGTATTTCTACTTTTTTTAGCATTGTATAATAAGAATATGGCACAAAATGTACCTAGTCCAACTTTTTATTTATATGTATCCTGATAATTTAACTGCCAATCTTATACCATGTTGCCTAATTCATTCTTTGTAACTAGAATTCACGTTATTATTTGATAAATGTCTTTCAATTGTATGTATTCGTGTATTTCTGTAAGAATAATTACAATAAAATTATAAAAATTTTCAGATTACTTTGCTGTATCCACTCAATGATGTTATCAATGTTTTCAAATGTTGTTTCCAGTTTGGGAGGTAGGGGGGCTGCACCCCCCTTTAGTGATTACGAATCTTGTCTAAAGAATCGCATGAACAATGTTATTTATGCCTATTGCGTATGTATGACTCAAGTGAAAAACCACAACGGAAGGAAAAATTCTTTTTATTGAAGCTATAGGCGTCAGACGTCAATACAAGAGGAAATGTGTTTCTGTCCTATAATTAGATACGTTATTTTGTCCGATATCTATACTAAAAGTAAAGCTGTAGAGTTTGTTAGAGCGCGCCAATCTCAGTAACTACTGCTTCGAATTAAAAAAATAAATAGTTTCACGTTTTAAACCATAAAAAAAAGTTTTAGTTAAAAGTGTGCGTTAACTACAGATAATACTATATACTTGTTGTAAACCGAAGTAAAAAAAATTGCTTCCCTCAATAAATTCTCACTTAGATAATAATAATCTGTGGCCGCTCTCGTCCGGTCGTTGTCCTTTTTACATTAGCTACAGATTATAAAATGTCATTAATTAATGTGTAAATTAATGAAACGCTTTTAACGTGTCCGACATTTAAATAACATTTTAATAACTAAATTGTTTATTAATGTAAAAGGAATAACAGTATTAAGATTAAAATATAAGAATGACCTGCTTTAAATCGAATCTAGGACCTTTTGATGCGGGATCGCGGGAAAAAATTATCTATGTTCGTCTACTTGCCTCTAAAAGTGATCAGGGAAACAGACATATGAATGTGTCTGAAAAGAGTGGTTTTGCACTCGAGCTATAAAAAGCGAAGCAAGAAAATGTGCGAGTTCTATAGTAGAATCTATGTGAGTAACAGACACGGAACTGTGTCTCTCTATGTAGATAAAACGTGTTCAGGTGTTAGTTTAGATTTAGTATACATGAGAGATGCTTGCTGACACAGCATAGTGTGTCGGAAACCATCTCTCGAGATTAATACTAGCTGTATCAGCGGCTTCGTCCGCGATAATCGTTATTTTGGGCATCCAAATTCGTTTTTGCAAACGCCTTCATCTTTATAAGCTTAAGTCGTCGTTTTTGCAAGTTCATCTTTAGACATAAGCGTCGCGGACTTTTTTTTACATCATTTAACCTTTTCTCTAGATATTCTCTAGATATCGTGAACCGTTTTTGCAGCGTACGCCTCAGAAACCTATAATTATGAATAATTTTCCCCGTTTGTTCCACGTTTCCCGCTGTTTCTTCGCTCCTATTAATCACAGCGGGATACTTTTTTACGCTAAAGCCTCCCTCTATGAACCAACCAACACACATTTTCCAATTCGAACCAGTTGTTCCCGAGATTAGCGCGTTCAAACAAACTCTTCAGATTTATTATATTAGTATAGATATATAAATGTGAGATGCTGCTAATAATACACACAAATAATAATTTGATTACAGTATAAATTGTGATCAAAGGTTACTCAAAGAATAAGGAAAATAATCTTTAGAACAGTCCATGACACATTATTATATAAAAATAATCTTTTAGATTTCAAGAATGTTTACAAATGTTGCTTATTTTGTGTTTTTGGTGATTGCGAAGAGCAAGGGTGGATCCAGACTCCCCCAATTAGGGGGGGATCATGACTGAAATGATTGCAGACCTTAGGTGGATCACTAATTGAACATATTGTTTTTTAAATATACACATTTAACGGTTTTAAACGCGATATATATTAGTTAAACTTATTTAAAATTTATTTTTAACTCCCTTTCGGATGCTTTGCAGCAGCCGTGGTCACGGGGAGACATATTGATCAAATTATCATGTATGTCGGTAGCTTAGTCGAGTAGTAAACATTTAGATAAAAAACTTTAACGGTTTAAAACATGAAACTTTTTTACTACGGCTCGACGTTTAAACTACTTTGCAGCAGGCCTGGTCAGGTGGGGTCATGGAAGTTTAAGCAATATATATCGCGTTTTAAGCCGTTAACATATTTTATTTAAATTATTCTATGTGAAATTCTTCTAAGAATAAATATTTTGAAGTATTAATAAAATACCGACATTTTACTTGTATCTATTGTTATAAAAATAATTAAAAATTTATTGACTTGACCACGACTGTGTGTCAACCCGCCTTATGCCAAGGCTAGATCAGCCCTTGGCGAAGGGTATAAAGCCACGCGTAGTTAGAAATATACAACTTTTATAAACTGTTAGGTATTTATAACTGTCTGTAGGTTACGCGACTAGTGCCTGTTTAAATAAAACAATTTTAACGGCAAAAACACGAATAACAGTTAAAACGGTATAAAAACGAATGCATATATCTGTAAGGCTTTGTTCTTTTTTTGCTCGAAATTAATAGTCGAAATATTGTTAAAATACTCAATTTAAAAAAAACACTTTCAACGGTTTAAAACACGAAATATATGAGTAAAATTCTCTTACTTAAATGGGTACTACTCGCGTAAACTCCAGACAATACCTCTTTAATTGCATCAATTATATGATAAAAATTCTAATTCTATAGCCTTATAGGTTACGTGTTGCCTAGAATTGCGTCAAGCCGGTTCGAATTCCCAAAAAACAACTTGTTTTGGTCGGGCACAGTCTGATCAAGTACTTGCCTGTAAAAGAACCGAGCAGTGAAACTGACAAAATGTGTTCGCCCCAAACCCCACGGGGCAAAACGGAATTTCAGTCGTTTATGAAAAAGGTGGTATATGAAATGTATTCTTTAGCTAGCAATTTTACGGAACCCTACTTAGCTTCAATACGGCTCGCACTTGACCTTTTTTTTTTATTTATTTACCGTGTAACAGGAGGCAGGATAAGGCAATATAAATTAGTATACATGTGGGTTTTTTAAAGTGCTAATTCGTTGCTTATTATTGTAGTGTTTTTTATTTATTTGAAGTACGGTGGCTTTATTTCATTGCATTATCTGTGAATCATCAGGAAAAACATCTCGTGACTCAGTTTTCTGGATGTGACTTCGGCATAAATTAATGGCAAAACCCATATTCGGTAGTCTACGATCTATACTAATATTGTATAGCTGAAGAGTTTGTTTATACGCACTAATGTCAAGAACTACGGGTTCGAATTGCAATTTTTTTGTCGGTCAGATCAATTATCCAGGAAGATTATAGGTTATAAAACAACGCTGCGACCAATAGAAGCGAAGAAATAGAGGGAAACGTGGAAAAGACGGGCAAAATCATTCATCTTTGAGGGATTCCGTTGTGTCATTGCACACAAGAAACCAAAAGTATGTATCAAAGTTTATAAAGATGCAAAAACTAATTTGGATGCCCAAAATAACGATTCACTCGGACGAAGTCGCTGGCACAGCTAGTAATTTATACATATAAGGAGGAGGCTTACAAAAACAAATTTCGTTGTCCAAAATAACTAAGTATTCCACGCGTAAGGCGCGGGACAGCTAGTTACTATATTTCTTGATCGATGGTACTATACGCTATAATTCTGTACGGAACCCTTAGAAGTGATATAGGTATTAGAAGTTAACTTACTATAAACGGAAATAAGCAATCTAAGAAATAAACAAACCAATGGCTGTTTTCTCTTCCGGATATCATTTATGGCTGACTGGCATCCTCCCAGGTTGGTACAAACACCAGCGGCGCCATTTTGTAGGCAAGCGTCACCTGCAAAGAGAACATAATCGGTAAAAACAGGTATCGAATCCACGACCAACAGCGTAAAGTTACTGTTTTATTTAGATTCTATATGACGGTAGCATGTTCGATTTCGCTTTATAATCCAAAATACCTACATACCTTTGAATTTTTTAATTAAACATCGATTTTAGTTTCTTTTTTTATTAATATCGCGTCATTAAATGCAATAACATGTGAAAAATATTAAAGTTTTTAAATAAAAAAATTATTATAGAGGAGAACAGACATGGGGTTCTCTTGATAGAAGATAAATACCACAGACATATACCATCTCAACAAGATGAGTTGTCGGCCTATTTAAGCTTTGGGTATTCGGAAAACCACAGACTGAAACCGACGCGATGCAACTTCAAGGTTTTTCATCTGTGGTTAGCATTTCGGGGCGCGGGCGGAATTCCGATATTCCTACCGCGCATTTATTATCCAGATTTCCAAAAATAAAATTAACACAACCAGTTTGAAAGCAGAAGTGAATAACCTATTGGGTACCGATATTGCGAGCGTGATATGTCCTAAATTTGATTCCCGATAATAACAGTTTCGATCAAGGCACAGAAATGTGTAATAAAATGTTTTAATAAAACAACTGTATCTGTAAAGTAGACCTATGCCCCATGGCCCACGGGGACAATGGCGAAATGGGAATTTACTTTTTACAATAGAGGGAACGTTATATGTTTAATTATTTGATAGTATGTATGTAGGTTCATTTGTTATTTCATCTTACACAAAGACAAGTCTGAAGGCTTTCGCGACTACATAAAAAAAGTCGCCCAAATACATAACTACTTCAAATATGTGACACGAATGTAAGCTAACACTATGCACTACTCAAACTTGTTAAATAGAAACGGTTTAAAACGCGAAATATATACAGTTGCTGTGAAGCATTCCAGCCGGCGCGGTAGTAAACAAATGCCTAAACTAATCTTTAGAGATCAGACATTCAAATGAAACACTTTTAACGGCTGAAAACGTGAAATATATTCGTTATCTTTCTATTTATTTTAACTACGGCCCGACATCCGAAACTAATAAGCTTCGCGTAAAAATACTTATATCTTTCGCGTTTTAAACCGTTAAAAGTGTTCTATACGTGCACCACTCGCGTAAACTGCGTACAGTACTGTCAATTAACCTTATAAAACTTACCTTCAAAGTACTGTCCTCTTGAAACACTTATGACCAAAACAAAAGCACACAACACAAACATGATCTTCGACAATTTCACTGAGATACAACGGAGTATAAAATATTCTTACAATTAATTAAACATAACTTAAGTTATGAATTCCGTCTTATTTAAATATATTTAAAGCTGCTTAACGCTGTTCACTGCGAGACGTCACGAACGCAACTGCCATTATAAAACAGCTTTCGACGTCGTTAACGCGAGACAAAAGAATCATTTATTAATTAATTCAAGTATAGTCTGTGATTAGATTTAATTAATAATGTGTCTTACTATATTACTCTGTTAATTATTAATAATGAGCTTATAGTATTTAAATAAAACACTTTAACGGTTTAAAACGCGATATTAATTAGTTATAATTATTTTAACTACGGCCCGTCGTTTCGGATGCTTTGCAGCAGCGAGACTACATAGATGATTGTAATCTTTAAAATCATTTCTTCTTTTAAAAAATATGAGGCCGCTAGAGCCAGAGTAGCCTAACTGCAATTTTATGACTGTTGTTTGTAGTAAAGTGAGTAGTACATTTAAACGGACTTGTTTCAGTTTAAAACGCTCAATATATTAGTTTATTTAACTTTAAATTAATTAAATATTATTTTACTAAATTAGTGTGGTACTGTAATATATTCGTTAGTTTATCTTCAAGGTAAGCAGAAAGTAACTAAATTTCGCGTTTTAAACCGCTATAAGTGTATTATTGAAATGTGTATTACTTGAGTTAACAACGCACAATACTTAATTTCTTGTTATATTGTTAATAACTTTTAACCTTTTAACCACCATCAATTAAAAATAATACGGGGATTAGGCCCGAACACGCTGTGATGGTCGGTTGAAGACCCGTCTGTGTTATTATTATAAAAATATAATACAGATAAATCTAAAATAGATTCCTAATTCTAATCAACTCGTACAAAGCTAAAATCTAAAAAATATTAGCGTTTCCAACTTTACTACTTATTTCAAAATTTTTTACCACCATAAGACCACCTCCACACAAGAACAGTGAAGAATTCTTGCGAAACAATTTTACGTGTACACATTACACAAAAAGACAAGAAACAGCAGACGATAAGTAATTTTTATAATAGCGCCATCTGTAATGTAAAAAAAGAAGTCAAGCATACAAAAACCAACGCAAGAGGTCTCTTACTACAGTTTATATTTAAGTCATATGCGTTTACTTGTTGGAAGGTGAAACTCAGGCTTATAACATCTACTTAAGATGCGTTGTTGGCCTATTTTGACATTGAACATTATCAAATCAAGGACTGATACTGAAACGCGAATACTTCACGATGGTTAGCGACCAAAATAGAGTTTAAAAACGTATTGTACCTAGTGGGATTCGAACTCACATAGCTTATACATAGCTATCATTGGGCAAATTTATACGATTTTCCTTGTAGTGAAGACGGACACATTTGAGATACAATCCATAAACAATTACATACAACCAAAAGATAACCTATAACAAAATGTATTTTTATACGCCAGAGGCTGTCAACCTTTCTATAAGATTAAATGTTATTTAAAAAGGAACGAATATTTGTAAAGAAATGTAATATAATTTAACGTGCAAAAACATTTTTGTCTCTTTTAACAATAACACATAATAAAAATCGTTAACCATCCTAAATACTATTTAATCCTTCTTTAAATTTAATATTAATAAATTTATTTTTACTATGAACCGACAGTAGGTTCATCCACTAAAGATGTTAACATCGGGTCACTGTTGAAAATTAATTAACTGTTATACATTGCGTTTTAAATCGTTAACATTATTTAATCTTCTGGTATAAACAGAACTTATGCATATACTAAAAAAAATTACGTGCCCTGTTATTTTTTTGTCTAAATAAAACACTTATGATGGATGCTTTGCAACAGATCTAAATCGTCGAGCTGTAGTTAAAAAATGACATTTTTTTGTCTTATTCGTGGTTTATTTAAATGTCCTTTAAGGAAAACATAAAAATACATATAAAACAATATCAACTTTTAAATTAAACACTTTAGGTGTTTAAAACGCGATATATTAGTTAAACTTATTTGAAATTGATTTTCAACTTCAGTCTCCCCGTGACCATGGCTGCTCCAAAGCATCCGAAACGTCGGGCCGAAGATAAAAATAATTTTCAAATAAGTTTAAATAATATATCACGTTTTAAATCGTTAGTGTCTTATTTAAATGTGTACTACTCGCGTAAACTATAGACATATAAACTTGCAGGAACGTCGTGGTCAACAGCTTAGATTAAAAAAAATGAGGTTTGTAAAAGCAAATTGACGCCTCAAAAAGCTATTCTACGCAGACGAAGTCGCTGGCACTTGTAACTTATATTAGATACATTGACGGGCTCGCTTGTCTAATGGTAGCAATATTTGGCTAATGAACTACGGGTCATGGGTTCGATTCCCACCGGGCCCGACATGTTTCTAGTTATTCACTTTATAATTTTTCTAAAACATGTTGGACTCCATCTGGAAATCTGGATATCAAATGGGTGGTATTCAGGAATATAGATATACCGCGTCGCTAACCACCGTCCGTCAACAGATGAAAAAGCCGTTTCGGTTTCAGTCTGTTGATTTCCGAATATCCAATGCCAAAATAGGTCCTCCCGTGTTTGTCTGTCCCCCTCTATGATTCAAATGTACAATTCGCCATAAAACCGAAGGTTGATCACCCCTGCTTTGCACAGTCAAGTTTCCAGTTTGATAATCCGCAGTTCTTGTTTGCGACCGCCAACATTAAATGTGTTTTTTCCTCATACTACTATACTATATTAATGTTTTATGTGTTTTCAATTGTGTATATGATATGTGTATTAAATACATAACAAAAGAATAGTGAATTATATAATTATTTTAAGCTGTTGAAATAAAGGTAAATTTTAATACAGTAGTTTACGCGAGTAGAGAGTACACATTTAAATAAAACACTTTAACGGTTTAAAACGCTAAATATATTAGGTAGAAATGGTGGTCACGTGGAGACAAGTAAGTGCTTCAAATGAATTTAACTAATGTATATCGCGTTTGAAACCGTTAAAATGTTTTATTTAAAAGGCAAATTCTGTTTAGCACTAGCCGTGCCCGCGACTTCGTCCGCGTGGAATAGTGACTTGGGGTAGAATTTCTAATTATTTAGGCTGTTTAATAATTTATGTAATTGCGCATTTTGTCGCAGTCAATCTATGATTCAAGTGCTACTCTGCCGCAACACTCTCACCTCAAATAACTCCTACTCTAACTCCCACTCCCATCCCCACCCCTATTCCCAAAAAAGCCAAAGAAGAAAGCTTCATTGTTCTAGCTTCAAAAACAACGAATTTCCATACAAACTTTCACCCCCCCTTTAAACCCCTTACAACCCCCTTCAATACCAATGTTCTTTTTAGGGTCTACCATCTGTCCCAAATTTCATCAACTCCGTTCTGTTTTGGCGTGACAAGACAGACAGAGTGACTTTCGCTTTCTAATATTATTAGGTTGCGCAAGTTTTAAAAAAAAGAAAGAAAAAGAAGCTGGTTTTCCCCTGGGGGGGGGAAAAAAACCAAAAAAAATATAAAAAAAGGGGGGGGTGGGCCTTGGGGATTTTTGGAATCAAGGGGCGGAAATTAAAATGAAATATCAATTTTCCTACCACCCATGTCATGTTCAGTTCCTAGACGATATCCGCCATGGTCTAGAAAATAGAATCCATCTACATCGGGTTCTATTTTTCCTAGAATTAACCCACGACCCATTTTATTATCTTAGGCTACTATTATATTAGCCAAAAGTAATCGTTACCTTAACGTGCATTCAATTTGGTATCATGGTAGCAATATACAGGTCATAAATTAAATGGGCCGTGTGTTAAATTTCTCGGAACATCTGTGTGTGTGTGTGTTGTAGGAATATTAAAATTCAGTCTGACACAGATGAAAAGGCCAATAAGAATCAGGTGATTTCGAGGGTCCAAAGCCAAAAGGCCGACAGCGTATCCTGTTCAGATGTTCTATGTCTGCATCACCTTCCATCAAAAGAGAGCTATGCTTGTCTCCCCCCCCCCCTGTCATAGTTAAATACATTCCCATTGTCCGTCGATCGAACTTATTAGGTACTCGTTTGACTTTGGGTCGATCGAAACAATGTATTATAATAAAACACTTTATTTCACAAGCAAATAAAATTCATATATATTTAATATTTACATATGTAGTAATACTAAATTAATTATTGACGTAAAAAAGGGTTAGTGGAAGGGCCTTATCGCCTATGGCGATTTCTTCCAGGCAACGTTTGTTTACCGAAAATGAAAAGAAATTAACAATAATAGCGTAAAAATCAACAAGAACGAGAGAAAACATGATACATATTATTAGAAATAAAATTTTCATATGTTTCTAGTTCGTGGTTACCCGTTAGGTCTACATAAGCAATGTATTGGTGAGTTAATTAAATTATATTTACATATACAATTAAATTATAATGTAATTAAAATTTAATTAAATTTTCCATATCCATATGATTTGGGAATGTTAATACAGTACTGGCACTCTTGGTTCTATCCTTAAGACTTCGACTGAACTTGAAATATGTGCTTCTCTTTCGTAATTTTTGTCGTTTATTTGTTTATTAACTATAATTGCTTATAATATAATAAGAATTATTATTCATTAAATCTAGTTAGATTTTTTATGTACATAACGACACGTATGTGCGCAATAATGGATATTTTTTCCAGGTTTATCTTTCTCATCTTGGCTGTAAGACCAGACTTCTCCAAAGGACTTAATAACGCTATGAAAGATTTCTTCGACTCAATGACCAGTAAGTGAAGTTTTTAAAAGTACTAGCTTGACTGTCACTTATTTTCGGTACCTAAGTGAAGTAGCCCAGCTATGCAACATCTAATCAAGATGCACTGTCGGCCTATTTGGCTTTGGATAATCAGATTTCACAGACCTTAGCCGAAACGCGATGAAACTTCACGGCCATTTCATCTGTGGACAATGGTTTGTGACACGAAATTTCGATATTCCTTTTTAATTATAAGTTAAATAGAAAAATGTTGGACCCGGTGGGAATCGAACCCACGACCCGACGATAATAGACAGACATTGCTAACATTAGAGCAACAAGACCGACAAAAAAACGTGTTTATTCATTTACTCTATATCAATGTTCAATGTAGAAGCTTCGTTCATCCAGCTAAGGCTATATTTATACAATTAAAAATAAAATCAACTAATATGCTACGTGTTTTAAACCGTTAATATACCATTATAACTTCAGTATACAAGAAACATCGGCTGATGGTTTAAAAGTACTATGGTATTTCGCGTTTTAATCCTTTATTCAATAATAATTATTCTTATGTGTGTTATGATGTTACTTATGTATTTTTTTTATTGGTGGACATACAAGCATGGGGTGACTTGATAGTAGGCGTATGCATGTAAACAAGATGAGCTATCGACCTATGTTGCCATTGGATATTCGGAAATCTGACTGACACCGAAACGCGATTAAGCTTCTAATAATCTAAAAGTTGCGTTCATCCACCAATCCACCAATACGCTACGCGTTTGAAACCGTTACACTACTGTATAACATGAGAAACGTCGACTGATGGTTAAAAGTACTAATACTTGGCGTTTCAATCCGTTATTTAATAAAAATGATTCTACTGATATTTATCATGATGTTACTTATGGATTTTAATAATGTTTACATCCGTTTAATATTTCCTTTTGCAGTTGCAAATGCAACGTCAGTCGAAGATTTCAAATGCCGGGACATACAATTAGTTGATGAGACGGCGTTCGAAGGTTGTTACAGCTGTTACAGGTGTGAAAACGAGAGATACATAGCGCATTCAAGAGCTGGAAGTTTCACACGGAACCTCAGGTAGGAAAGGTGATAGTCTTTATTGACTGGGGGCTCCTCTTCCTGCGTCTTGGGTGTCTCTCCGTGGCCACGGCTGCTGCAAAGCATCCGAATCGTCGTGCCGCAGTCAAAATAATTTTCAAATAAGTTCAACTAATATATATCGCGTTTTAAACCGTTAGTGTTTTATTTAACTGCGTACTCTCGCTTAAAATACAGACAGTATTTGAAAAGACTTTTTGATAGGACAGGGCACAGAAGTCTGTCTGTCTTTACAATTGGTTAAACCGACACAGAAATATTTCTGCCCATACATAACATGTGTAATTTCATTTACACAGACGAATGGCTGTAACATTTTAGTATTATTTGAAGCTTTCCCGACTAGAACACATTTAAATAAAACACTATGAACGGTTTAAAATGTGGTGATTATTCCCTCCATCTTTATTTTAATTATAGAGGAGAACAGACAAGCTATGCCAACCATGTAACATCGAGACAAGATATACTGTCGACGTATTTTCGCTTGGGATATAATTTCCCACGTCTGCGTACTGCGTGCATTCGAAACCACGTCTCCACGACATACAAACCGAAGTCGTCGATTTGATTCCTGATCATATTGTCATCTTTTTCAAGATTTTGTTCTCCCTTTCAGATTTTCCAAAATGACAAACGGCAACTGCGCAACGGAGAATTTGTGTTGCGTTTCTCAGTCGGCGTTTACGAGTGTCAGGTAAGATATCCAAAACGGCTAGACCGATTTGGACCTTAACAGCGTCTAGAAAGATGTTATATTGTTTTCCAACGATCCACTATTCCAATTATATTTATTTTATAGTTATTTTGCTAGCTGTTTACCCTCGATGTCCCCGCCACGTCCTTCTTTTTAACGAGAAAAAACTCATTAGTTATTAATTAATTAAATGATTTATTTGTCTGTATAATTAATTGCTGTGCGTGTAATGTAACAAATTTTGAACTTATAAATAAACTATGTTTATATATAGACATATACTGGTCCGGATATATTTTGAGATCATTAAAAAAAAGAATCATTCTTTCATACATATTTTTAAATGTCTTGAACCGTTTCCGCTGCGCATGCGCATGCGGGAAAAATATTCATCTTTGAGGAATTCAGATAATTCCTCAAAGATGAATATTTTTCCCCGTTCTTTTCACATTTCCCACTGTTTCTTCACTTCTATTCGTCACAGCCTGATGTTTTATAGCCTCCGTTGATAAATGGTCCATCTAACACAATTAATTCCTGAGATGAGCGCGTTCAAACAATGTCTTCAGATTTATATATTAGTATAGATGTGGCTGGGGTATTCTACTTCCTAACAAGTGAATACTTTTAAAAAAAACACTTTAACGATTTAAAACGCGATATATTAGTTAAACTTATTTGAAAATGATTTTTACCTTCGGCCCGACGTTTCGGATGCTTTGCAGCAGCCGTGGTCACGGAATTAAACCGTTATTTTCATTAAATGTGTACTACTCGGTAAACTATAGACAACAAATAAGTGAATACTTCTCTGTCTTCTTAAGTAATAAGAATGTCAAAAGAATTTTCCATATAAATTTAAATTTTTTATTAATTTGTAACCCTACCTTTATGTAGTTTTACTTTTATTAAATGTTTACTTTATCTACATATATCTATAACTAATATATAAAGCTTAAGAGTTTGTTGTTTGAACGCGTTAAGAACTCTGGTCGGAATTAAAAGTCTTGGGAGCATGTATCAAGGAAGAGGATACAAGGAAATTGATCAACTTTATATATTAGTATAGATGAGTTAGAAAATAAATTTGTCATTATTCAACTGTTTCAGAACTCAACACGATTGTGGCAAGATCAATAGAGAAGGAAGACCACGTAGTGTACGTCCCGCTCTGAGGCACGTTCTTCCCGGACAGTATCCTTGGAGGGTGTGGATTTATGCGTAAGAAAAACACCCTGTATAAAAAAATAAAATTGTCTTTTATAGTTCTGAATATTGACGGGCCGTGTGGTCCAAAGAGAATATTGAGAGGACTGTCGTATATTTGCCATAATATGTTGTACGAAATAACATTTAAAAACTTACCATTAACATTTTAAAAGTCTTAGTATGAAAACTTTATTATTTACATGTTATTGCACATAAAGGCACTATATAATTAAAAAAAATTGAAAGTAAAAAGTAGAAAGTAGTTAAAAAAAATCCTGCCCGAGTCGAAATTTTTTTCAATTTATTTTCGATTTAAAAAAAAGTCTTACCACTTCTTGACCAATTTACTTGACATTTTTTTAAACTACTTCAAAAATAAATACTGTCTATAATTTCATATATCAGTATAATCATTTTCAAATAAGTTTAACTAATTTCGCGTTTTCAACCGTTAAAGTGTTTTATTTAAATACATACTTAAAAATACGTTTGTAAGTACAGATACAGTATTTTGTATGGACCCAACAACTAAAAACTACAGTTAGCACTTCGTCTATCAATAGCGTCTTAAACACTGTCTTTAGTTTACGCGAGTAGTACAAATTTAAAACACTAACGGTTGGACAACGCGAAATATATTAGTTAAAATTATAGCAAAATTAGCCGTGACCACGCCTGCTGCTAAGCATCCGAAATGTCGGGCCGTAGTTAAATTACTTTCTAAATAAGTAACTAATACATTCCACGTTTTAAACCTTTAACTTAGTATTAGTTACCTTTTTTTAGTTTACAACTAACATTACCTATGTACCTAATTGTCAATGTATATATTGTTTTGACTGTAAATTTACTCCTAAAAAGTACAAAAAAAAATTGAACGACTCAAAAAGCATAATATATAAAGCTAAATTTAAAAAAAAAACGACTATAAATTTAAAAAAATACGACACGGGCAGGTACATTTTTTTAGTTAAAAATCGATTTTAAGTTTATATAGTGCCATCGTGAAAAATATTAAAGTTTTGAAGCTAATCTTTCTCTTCACAGCGATGGCGACAAGAAATGCGTAGGCACGTACATTAACTTCAATCCTGATGTGTTGGTGACAACTGCATCTTGTATGAGCTACATTCAGAACTCAGATGCACTCACCGTGAGGGTAGACAGAGATGACAGTGCGGAAACTGCTGTAACTAACTTCATACTCCATCCGGATTTTCATCTAAACCAAGGTAAGAAGCCGAAATGTCCTAGATCCCAGTGTCAAAGGGCATTATTGACATTTTTGTGTCACGCATAGGCTTTATTCAAACACAGAAAATGAAATCAAACCGTTAAATTAGACACTGTTAGTTTAAAGCTGTTCTTCACGTCCGCGTCCCGTCCTTCTTAATCCCAAGAGACAGAATAAATATACTGTCGCGGAAATTTTTTTTAAATTATTAAAACAGGAATTCTTTCCATATTTTTTATTTTCTTGAACTGTTTTCGCAGCGAACGGAGGCCCTGACAACTGGATAATTTTCCCCGTTTTATCCACATTTAAATGCGAAAGTAACTCTGTCTGTCTGTCCGGCTTTAACTCCGAAACTACTGAATTGATTTAAATGAAATTTGGTACATAGATATTTTAGAGCCTGAGAAAGAACATAGGCTACTTTTTAATGTCAAAAAAGGGTTGATAGGGTTTGAAAAAGGTGACGAAAGTTTGTATGGAAATTCGTGGTTTTTGAAGCTAGAACAATGAAACTTTCTTCTTTGGCTTTTTGGGAATAGGAGTGGGAGTGGGAGTGAGTTTAGGAATGAGAGTGGGAGTTAGAGAAGGAGTGATGTAAGGTTGAAGGTGAGAGTGTTGCGGCGAATATATATAGATTGGCTGCCTTAAATGCGCCCTTACATAAATTAATAAACAGCCTAAATAATTAAAAATTCTACCCCAAGTGACTATTCCACGCGGACGAAGTCGCGGGCACAGCTACTAATGCATAGTTGTACTGCCCAAGACTGATTTTTAATGTTGAGAGAACAATGACAACTTACATTGTCACTTAACTATATTTTTTTATTACATAAAATAGGTTTCTTATTTTTAATTCTATAATTACTAGATAACCTTTCTACTTAAACTGTCTATAGTGTACGCGAGTAGTACATATTTATATAAAAATCTTTAACGGTTTAAAACGCGATATATTAGTTAAACTTATTTGAAAATGATTTAACAACGGCCCAACTTTTCGGATGCTTTGCAGCAGCTGTGGTCACGGGGAGACTAAAGATGGAGGATGTCTCTGACGTCAAAGTAAAAAATTTGCTACGCTAGCGCTATCTGTCCCGTCGAAGTTGGTATTTGGCGAAACTGGCCGGGTCCTTGCAGAATTTAGGTCTAACGGTGTCTTCGCGTTTGCTGGTATGCTGTTTATTGGGATCCAGAGTTTTTAATATGGGATCCCAGGTGTTCCATAATTTGAGGCCGTCCTCCCTATTGAAATTTCGGTGTTTTATGATTTCAATTGCTTCGCGTTGAAATCACCCAACCAAGATTGGTTCTTGGAAAAAATCGACTCTCCTTTGCGAGGATTTTTGGCTGGTCAAAGCGAATGTAGTGATTGGGCCCTTCCGATGATTTTTTACTTTGACGTCAGAGACATCCTCCATCTTTAGTTTCCCCGTGACCACGGCTGCTGCAAAGCATCCGAAACGTCGGGCCGAAGTTAAAAGTCATTTTCAAATAGATTTTACTAATATATCGCGTTTTAAACCGTTAAAGTGTTGTATTTAAACCTTTCTACTTATCTTTAGTTGAAGCCTATAAGACGCCGAAGAATAATATAGCATTGGTGAAAATGGAATCTAAGTTGCCCAACCTGAGACCCATTTGTATACCAGAGGCCAGAGTCGATATTGGGTCGCCATGTGTCGTCGTATCCGCGGATAATATTTATGTAAGTATAAAAGTGAAAGCCCGTTTCCCCCTCGTGGGGCATGGGGCGAACACATTTCTGTGTCCGTTTCACTGAACAGTTCTTTTAATGGGCAAGTAGTTTATCAGACTTCTGTGCCCTGCTCGACCAAAACCATTGTTTTTTTTTTGTTTCCCTGGGGTTTGAACCCGGATCTCTCGCGCTCAACGCAATGCTAGGCAATACGTTTAACCATTAGGCTACAGAGGCGTAAGTATGCCCATTGTTAAATACTGTCCAGTTTAACGGTTTAAAACGCGATATATATTAGTTAAACTTATTTGATTTAAAAATTGAGAATAAATTGAAAAAAAATTTGACTCGGGCAGGACTTGAACCGGCTTCATAAGCGTTCCGTGCTGTTTTTAAGTGCGAAATTGATTTCAATTTATTTTCAATTTTTAAATTATATAGTGCCATCATGTGCAATGACACGTGAAAAATAATAAAGTTTTTTTTACTTATTTGGAAAATATTTTAAATATAGCCCAGCGTTTTGAAAGCTTTTAGAAATTGAAATAATTTGAGATCGCGCAAGAGATGCATGTGTCGATAGCTTAGAACAATTTGACCAAGACGTGTAGGACACGGTAGGTTAGGGTAGCACGGAGCGCCGTGGATGCACGTTTAAGTCTAACACGAGTCGGAAATGTTTTTTTTCTTAAATTGAATTTAATTTATGTACATCGTATCAACGGCTTGAAAAGTTAAACATTGTCTACTGCTAGCGGATTAGAATACTGGGAAAATATAATTCTGAATTGGCGAATTTTAACTGTGGCCCGACATCTTACTGTGACCACGGCTGCTGCAAAGCATCCAAAACGTCGGGCTGCACTTAATATAATTTTAACTAATATGTATCACGTTTTTAACCGTGAAAGTGTTTTATTTGAAACTTTTTATATTTTTACGTGTTATTGCACATATGGCACTATATAAACAAAAAACCCTTTTTCAGATTAACGCAATAGTTCCCGTCCAGGAGAAGTGTCAAAACACAGACCCAGCGATCCTTTGCGCCATGGTCCCGCCCAAGGACTACACCCCGGAAGACGGGAGCGGGCTGTTTTGCGTAGATCAGGTATTTTTTTCAAAGCAATATCGTTTCGCCATCACGTGTGGATGGCATCATCAGGAGATATTCACTCATCGATTAAAGTCGATGAGTGAATATCTCCTGATCGAGTGTCGAAGCGTCGAGAACCTCTTCTCGCTCACATCGGCCGAACAGCCCGAAAAACAATGATATGCTGAACGATGGCCGTGAAAGCCTTACACAATTTACAAAGCAATATTGTCCCAGAGCTGAGCGCTAGAGTCTCCCATGTAAGAGAAGATTGCACAGATTTGTTACACCACTGTAAAACTACCGTCAATTGTTTTTAAACCACAGTCTTGCTGTAAACTAAAACACGCTGGCAACCTATATTGGCTTTGCATATTCGGAAATTCAATATTCTGAGTAACTTCATGCACATTATTCTTTCTACGACTCGACATTTCTTAATCGTTGTAGGGGCAGCCCCATATAATTATAATATATGGGCCGCCCCTAGCAGAGTGACTCAATAAAAAAAATCATGATTAACATCGAAAAAGCAGATTTGTATTACGCACTTATACTGTGTAAGAATCTAACATGATTGTCAGTTAAGTTGCAGTTAGGCTAAAGGACACAGCTGCAAACAACGATAATTACAGCCGCTATGACATTTGACCATGGCTGCTGCAAAGCATCCGAAACGTTAGAACGTAATTAAAAACAACTTGGAAATATATTATATTTTCCGTTGTAAACATATTATAGTGTTTTTTTTTTGTTTCAGAATGCCTCCGAATCAATTTACCTATTACACGGTATCATGGTCGACAATGATGACCACGTTATCAAGTACTTGAATATAAGCCATTACGATTCATGGATAACGGAACAAATAAAATCGTTGTAAAAATATACATTGTGTTTTGTATTAAGTACGAAATTGATTTTTTTTTTCAATTATTCTTGGAAATTTAAGGATTATTTTGACAAACCTCTTCGAGATAACTCTAACTTGCTGTACTGGTCGAGCAGCGGTCGGCAATAGTTCTATGAAAATCTATGGCCGTCTTGTTTAACGGCTAAATCAATTTGAAAATGGAACGATCTATTTCGCAACATGGCAACCAACGTAACCATGGTAACGTGTTGTTTAGTGAAAAAAAACGTGCGCGTAAAAACTACACCCGTTAGTTGTTCTTCAACTTTGATTTCCGCGCGTTATTTGGGAAAAAACTGTAAAAGCCTTGGTCATCCAGTACATTGATGGACTTACGTTCGTCCATCAATCCCTACCGCCTGCGGCAGTATATACTATATACTGTCTGTAGTTTACGCGAGTAGTACACATTTAAATAATACACTTTCAAGGCTTAAAATGCGATATATATTAGTCAAATAATTGGACTACCCGACGTACGTATACGACGACGAATATATATCGCGTTTTAAACCGTTAAAGCATTTTATTTGAAAACTATTTAATACGGTCCCACGCTATCGATTAAAACAACACACAATCGTAAACAAAACATTTAATAATTATAAGTAGTCGCTTTTTCTCTTTTTATCTTTGTCGTGTTTCCTGGAGTGTAATGTTAACTTACTTTTAGTTATAAACCTCTTGCCGCAAACCATGCATTCGTGGGGCTTATCCCCAACATGTGTTTTATAATGCATTAGCATATTGTTCTTTTGTGTAAAGCTCTTGGAGCATATTTCACATTGATACGGTTTTATTCCGCTGTGTATTTTCTCGTGTCGGTCTAAATCAGCTTTTCTGTAAAACGATGCACCACACTCGGGACAGTTAAAGTTCTTGACCCCCGTATGGGATAGTGAGTGGATACTTAGATGCCCCGGTTGGGTATATGTCTTACCGCACAGTGAACACATATATGGCCGTTCACCAGTGTGCGTTCTTGTGTGTTTTCTTAGCTCATAGCCAGTTCCAAACACTTTACCGCATGTGGGGCATGCTTGTGGCTTCTTTTTTTACAATTCGTTTACGTTTGGACCTGAAAATCAAGTTAGGTTCATCAACTTAATAAGTGCATCTTGTTTTTATATCATAAACTTTTTGGACAATATTTAAAACCAATAAGTTTAGGTATTTGTTAAGAGCATAGATGCATAAAAATGATATTCTCTTTTCCCCTAACATATCTGAAAGAAGAAAGATATCTGTGTCTATTTAAGAGATAGATTACATTTACATGCAAGAAATTCATTAGACTTCTATCCTCTCAATGACCGAAATAATCTATTGTCCTCCTGGAATTAATATCCCAGATTTCTCATGCTTAACGCAACATTGGGCAACGGATTTATGCCACACTTTGATGTGAATATGTATTACTAGAAGAATTGCAGAATTTAAACGAAAATAGTGAAATATACTTTTTTGGAGTTTCTTCTTCATCAGAGATCTCAATAACTTCACATTTAATAACAACTTCTTCTATTGGCTGATCCATAGGTGGAATATCCACTTCTACCATTTCCAGAGGGTCCGGTTGAGCATCTTCCATCGTTATCTAAGGTTAATAAATTGAATATTAAAATATAATTATGAAATATTGACATGTACGTTCTTACTTCAATATTATTTTTACTTATTACAAAAGTGAAGGTCGTTCTTACGTACCACAAACTTGTTTGACTCTTTATAGCAATTTGAGGCATAATTCGTACATTGTTAGTTGTGCACAAGGATCCAAGAGTAGTTTTATATTTCTGCACTTGTTGAATTTGTTTAAAAATTAAGGTATATTGAATATTTTTAGATTATTATGGTAATATTTGTATTCAATTATGATGTTTACACGAGACGAAAAAATTGGACTTCACTTATGATAATATGTCAACGTCAAGTCTGACGTTTGACACTTATTCGTCAATTACAGATTACGAATTGAATAACAAAAATTATTTACAAAAATATTCTTTCTATGCTGAAAAAAATATCAACAAGTGTATACATACTCAAATTATTATTAAATGCAATAAATGAAAAACATTTAGTTAATTTCAACTAGTAGGACATTTCTATAATCTGTGATAACTTAAGCAAACACAATATAGCGATCTTATACAAAATAATACAACCAAAATAAAACGTTCTCCGAAACTGCCCTTGCTTATGAACTGTTTATGTCTATTTAAATCAATAGTATTATTATAATTCGGGTCATTATGATGTCATACCGCTTAATTTAAATATGACGTACCTATTTCCACATTCGCACCGGTGATTTCAAGTGATTCGCAAGAGTTTTATTTTATTATTGTGCAAATAACGAGTGCAATATGTCTCATTATCAATTTAAGACTGCAGGTGAGTAACGAAGTGGTAAAACATGGATTTAAACAATTAATTTTCTATAAACCCGCGGTGTATGAAAAATACCTGTAAATCTGTTTTCAAATAAAGAACCCTGATCCTTTAATAATGAGAGGGTAGATATATAACTTATTATCAAATTTCACATTTAGACGGCATATTAATAACAGCTGTGTTCCGATGATGTCATTGTTGTGCATTCTTCATGCGACATGACAAAATGTAAGCCATGACGCTAAACTAGGTCAGGGTTATGTCAGTATTACAGAATGTTGTGTTATCTTTGTATGGGTAGGTCACAGAATACATGGGTTTTTAGTAAAAAAATATATATAAACCTTTTTTTTAAATGATGGATGACATGTTATAAAAATTTGTTGCTTTACTTTGTAGAGCCAATATTTGTATTTTGATATTAAGTTAAGTTTAGTTGTAAGTTACGTAATTTTTAAATTATTTCATTGGAGGAAGATGTTTTTGCAGCATTATGAGTTGTGTAGCAATAAAAATAACCTAACAGAAAGTAAAGAAGTTCCCATGATTGTTATATTAACTTTTTTAATAATAAAATAAAAACATATAAATTAATTTTTGTCATATCTTCTTCTGACATTTACTTTTTTTAATAAAAAAAATTGTTTATCACCTCTGTTTAGTTCTTCAAAGATTTTATAGAAAAATGTAATTCAAAATATTTTTATCAAACTACCCCCCACTTTTAAACATTTAACTTTTTTATTCCCTTTAGTTAAAATGCTTGAAACACTTTTAAAAACACAAAAACTTTAACATGTCTTTGGCAACTATTAAGTAGCACAACTATACACAATTACTTTTATGTAAATAGACTTCAAACAAAAAACGGAACTTCTTATCTCTGCCAAGTGCGTTACCTCGATTTCTTATCTTCGTTAAAAAAACAGTTACCCGACGGACGCTGTAGCTCAGTGGTTAAATGCGTTACCTTGCGTTGTATAACATTTCTGTATTAGAATCCGAGGGAAACAAATATAATACTTATGTAGGGCACAGAAATCCGATCAGCTATTTGTTTGTAAATAAACAGACATAAATGAGTCTTCCTAATGTGAAACATGGTAAAATGGTTAATTAAACACTGTCTGTAGTTTACGCCAGTAGTACACATTTGAATAAAACAAATTTAACGGTTTAAAACGCGGTCTCCCCATGACCACTGCTGCTGCAAAGCATCGGTAACGTTGGGCCGTAGTTAAAATAATATTCAAATAAGTTTAAATAATATATATCACGTTTTAAATCATTGAAGTATTTTATTTAAACGGTACAAATGACATTTAATTCATAACACAACAATGAATGAGAATATATACCCCTCACAAAACGAACAGACATATTTTTGTGGCCGTTTTTAACCGATTACTAATATGAATGGTTACCCTTGACTACGTTTGCGTTAACAATTGCGACAGTTGGATAACGGTTTACAATGAGACATTAGGAATCCACCTACGTCTTTTGCATATCAATTGACAGATCATGGACTAAAAAAAAAGAAAAATGTTTATTATCCACTATTAGCTGTTTCGCATTTCCAACTGTTTCTTCGCTCATATTTGTCACATCGATGTTTTATAGCTTGTAGCCTTTTTCTCGATAAATGCTCTAACCAAGACGGAAATAATTTTGCAATACCAACCAGTAGGTCCTGAGATTTGCATATTCAAACAAACAAACAAACTCTTTAGCTTAATATATCTGTATAGATATACCCTAAAAATATACGTATAATAAAAAATACAACACTTTTAACGGCTTAAAACAAAATATATTAATATGTATTGTTATAAAATTGTGTATTACTGTCGTAGACTATAGGCTTGGATTATTTTGTTAGTACGTATTTAGCCAAAAAAATCTCTCTGCAATAAATATTGTGATGTATATTTATTGAGATATATATATGTCAGAAAACAAGAAGTACTAAACCCAAGATTTCTAGGTTTATACTTAGCCCCCCCACCCCCTCCTTTCTCCTCATATACTTCCATTATAAACAGAGTTAAATCTCGTGAATTCTTTTAGATATCAAAAATCTAGTTCAGTAGGACAATATCTTGTGAAGTTTAAATTAGATGGAGGTTTTGCAACGGGCTTATTTTTACACCAAATGTTTAGCAACCGGCGTATCTTACACACCAGACGTATGCATTTATTAAATACTAGATGCGCCAGCGACTTTGTCCGCATAAAATAGTTATTACGATACAGTGGGAAATGTGGAACAAACGAGGAAAATTATTCATTTTTAAGCGTGTTCTGTAAAAACGGTTCAAGACACTCAAGAAATATGTATGAAAGAATTATCTAAAAAATTGTCTGTGCGACGGGACGCGTACGACGTCCTTGCCGACAGCTATGATGTATGAAAATAGGGGGGGGGGGGGGCTTATAAAAATAAAATGCCCAAAAAAAAACTATCTACGCAGTATCTAAAAAAAATATAGCGCCTACCACAGCCCCTAGCGGAACGCGTAGTGTATAGTGTACAAATGTATAAAAAAGACTTGATAAAATTTAACGCACACAATCTCCTACTTTTTTAACTGACGCTTTCACCATTTCCAGGTCCTCTACCACCACCGGCGTTGGCGCCTAACAAAGTGCGTTTATTCCAGGTGGATATGAACCCGTATGGACACAGGGTTCTTCTAATCCTAGATGCGAAACGAGCAAAGTATGAGGTGTACGAAATGGATCCGTTACGGCTCCCCGAATGGTTCAAAGCGAACAATCGGAGATGTAAGACTTTTATAATACAGACAATCATGTGGTTCCCTTGATGGCATATTAAATACCCCAGCTATATAACAACTAATCTAGATGCGCTGACTAAATTTTGGCTTTGGATACTCGGAAATCCACAGACTTAAACCGAAACGCGATAAACTCCACGGCTTTTTCATGTGTTGTGTGTCACAAAAACACCCCAGACACATAACAGCTATAGAGAATGTGCCGAACTATCTTGGTTTTGGATACTTCGTAATCCAGCGAAACACGATTGGACTGGACGATTTTCACATCTGTTTTGTCATGATAGAGGAGGACAAACAAGCCACTTAGCCGACAAATTTTCGATCACCATATTTTTTTAAATCCAACAGCACGGAACGCTGTGCATTGAGTAGACATATTTTTTTTTTTTCAATCTACCAACGATTTTTAATCGATATAATCATGTGCAATAACGTGTAATATATTAGAGTTTACTAATCGTTGTCACGTTAATTGCGATATGATTTCAGGTAAAATACCAGTACTTGAAGTCCACACAGACCACGCTGACAAATGTTTGTTTGAGAGCGTTGTTATCTGTGACTACTTGGACGAGAAGTACACGCACAATAAGTTACATTCGAGTGATCCTTTCACTAAGGCGCAAGATAGACTTCTTATCGAGAGATTTAATGAGGTAACTACCCATAATCTGTCTTTTTTAAGATGGAAAGAAACAATAGATTTGTTTGTTTCTGTTTGAAGAACTTTGAAACGAAACACTGAAATATGTCTAATTTCACACACAAAACATATTTAAGATATATAAATTGTCATGTTTGTATACAATAGTGCAATATGAGAATATCGTACTTTACAACATAAATCATAATACTTTTATAATTTATAAAGCAATTTGTGCAAATATATTCCCTGACCTTCCAAATTTGAAAATTGCACAACAACATTTACGTTTTCACTTCTGCCGGTACTAACCCATATTATTTACTCTTACTTTTAATGTCTTTAATGTTTGTTATTGCTTTCCAGTTAATCAAAGGAAGCCTGGAATGTTTCGATACAAACTTTGTGTTTGGCGGTCAACAGATTTTGCAAACCTTGGACATATTTGAAAAGGAACTAGTCACGAGAGGTGGGAATTTGTGTTACATATTTTTATTATATTTATATGTTCCCGGTAATGTCAATGTAAAAAATATAAAAGTTCGCGTCGTCCAGTCGCCACACTGATCGTCCTGCCGTCCTGGGAGTCAATAAAGTTGTTTTTTGTTTCCAGGTACAAACTACTTTGGAGGTAGCCGACCGGGCATGTTAGATTATATGATCTGGCCGTGGGTGGAGCGTCTATATCTCGTGAGGGTGGTCGCTGAAAAGAAATTCGACGAGAAAAGGGGGGCATATCCTAACTTTGTAAGTAATTTAATCTAATGATTAATGTATACTGTATGTAAACTATCAATCTATAAAATAGAGAAAGAGATTTAATTGTTAAAAGATAAATTACAGTTGAATCAAGAAGAGTTAAATACAGTCTGTAGTTTATGAGAGTAGTACACATTTAAATAAAACACTTTAACGGTTCAAAACGCGATATATTTTAGATAAACTTGTTGGAAAATTATTTTTAACTACGACCCCAAGTTTCGATTGCAGCAGCCGTGGTTACTATCTGCTGTATGTGTACCCCGTGACCACGGATGCTGCAAAGCATCCGTGCCGTAGTTAAAATAATTTGTAATTAATTTTAACTAGTACATTTCGCGTTTTAAACCATTAAAGGTGTTTCATTTAAATGTGTACCACTCGTAAAAACATTCACAATAAATTCGATGAAGACCAGCGTGGACACAGTAGCTCAATTGTTGTTGAGCAAACAGCTAGGAACACTGTTTCGTGATTTGGGATCTTTTTTCATATCAACACGAAATGTGAATATAATAATATTTGACACTTTAAAATAATGATTGATACAAAATTAGACCTGCGGTAACAATGTCCGTAAGCTCTATACCTACTGGAAACTTCGTCTGGAAATCTGGATATTACATCGGTGGTAGGAATTTTGAAATTCCACCAGAGCTACGAACCACCGTCCACAGATGAGAAAGCCGTAGTTTGAGCCCTAGTTCACCAAACAGTGAACCATGTTTAACTGACATGAAAAAAGCTGTCCATAACTAAATCCATCTCTTTTCAGGCTGATTGGGCTGACCAAATGCAACTAGACGAAGTGGTGAAGAAGCACGCGCGTTCTCCCCAAGAGTATCTAGACTATTACAAGAACGCAAGAACACTTTCCATGTCCTACTATTTATAAACGAGGTGTCTGCAATCGCCTTTTACCCTTGTGGGGTATTTTTATATCACCGTGCACAGAGGTGACCTCTAGCGAGATTATGCTTAACTGTTGAGCGAGGCAAGAACTTTGAGGTGCTGTTATGATTATTTCAAAGGGGATTTAATTGAAACTGGTTTTCACAATCTGTATGTCTCACGTATATAAAGATACTAGCGATATGCCCCGGCTTTGCTCAGGTACATTGAAACTAAAACGCTACAGAAAAACTGTGAACGTTGTTAAAAACCTTCCTCTGGAATCTATTAAAACCGCATCAAAACCAGTTGCGTTGTTTTAAAGATTAAAGCGTACATAGGGACAGAAAAAGCGACTTTGTTTTGTACTATATAGTGATTTAAGTGCATTTAAAGATCTTTTAAGATTATAGACATCAAAAATCATTACTTATGTAGGTAGCTATGTACACTTGTGAATGTCACATTAGTTAAAATCAAGACTCTAAAATGACATTCACTACTACATGTCTGTAGTTTACGCGAGTAGTACACATTTAAATAAAAAAAATAACGGTTTAAAACGCGATATATTCTAGTTACACTTGTTTGACAATATTTTTTTACTACGGCCCGACGTTTCAGAGTCCCCCGTGACCACGGCTGCTGCTGTTTTAGACCGTTAAAAGTGTTTTATTGTTGCAATTCCGCACTTATAGTATACATCTTTTTCCATGCTAGAGCTGGTTCCTCCAAAAACCCAAGCATCGTTATCATTTAAATATTTATTTATATTTCGTTAAACTTTTAACGGTTTAAAACGCGCTGAATATTCGTAAATTTCTTTCTAATTGCGACTTCAGAAGACGTGGTTATAGATATCCGTGTTGCATTTAAAATACACTAACTAATAGATTTCCCGTTTTAAGCCGTTTTAAGTGTTTTATTACTGTTCACTTGTTACATTGAACATAGTAGTAAAGCTGTTTTTATTTTAAGAAATTTACGAAATGACAGACTCGTTAGTCTAACGTAACAGTGTCTTATATCCGAAGAATCGTGGATTCGATTCTCGAAAGAATATCGAGATTCTATCGATATTACAAACCACCGTCCACAGATGAAATAGCATTGATTTCTGTGTCCAATATCGTAATAGGGCGACAGCACATTTGAGATGTAAGGCCTTTTATTTATCGTGGAATACCAAGCGTGTTTGTCCTCTGTAATAAAAATTCGTAACGGCTGCTATCAGGTATGTACTTTTTTATATAAGTTTAAGATATTTTAAATCTTATATTAATTAACGTACTTAAATGCCTACTTTTAAGTCTAGTCTATAAACATTCGAGAAATCTCTGATGGTGTTGTTAAATGGATCTTAATTTACATAATCTATTATGAATTATATGTTATACTAGCTGATTCAGCGACATCGTCTATCAAACTGTTACCTTCGTCATTCGATTCGACGCGTCCCATCGCTCGCGACGCGTCGTTCTTGCGAGTTCATCTTAAGATAAACAAATACTGTCGCGGACTCGTTGTATCTTCGCTTGTATTAGTCACAGGGCGATGTTTTATTTATCTTTATATTTATTAACTCTGATAAACGCTCTAACTAACACAAAAATATTTTTTCCAATACGAACTCGTAGTTCCTGAGATTAACGCGTTCAAACAAACAAACTCTTCAGCTTTATATATTAGTATGGATACATATATTTTTTTTAAACTTACCGAGTTATTACAAAAAAAATATGTATGTACTAATTCTAGGTTCAATTGGTTAGAGTAACAGTACGTAACGCTGTGGATGCCGGTGTGTTATTTTTTTTGTACTTTGGGTAAAAACAAATTAAAAAAAAACCTCTCAAAATTTGTAAGATTTTAAGGCAACTAGCTATATTAAATAGTATAGATGATCTTAAGATTGTAGGTTTAAATTGATTTTAACACATTTTGTGTGTATATTTTTAGCAGCCAATCTTCGAAAAACATATTTTTATATGTATAAATTAAGTTATTATTAGATGAAACACTTAATGCTTTAAAATACAAAATTTATTTATTAACTTATTTTCACCTCCAGCGCTAAGTTTCGTTTGCTTTGCAGCCTAGGTCACGGAGGGAATAAAATAGTGTCCCTTACTAAATACTGCCTGTAGTTTATGCGAGTAGTACACATTTAAATAAAACACTTTAACGGTTTAAAACGCGATATGTATATTAACTTATTTGAAAAATATTATAAGTACGGCCCAACGTTTCGGTTTCGTTCAGTTAAAATAACTTTAACTTTAATATATCACGTTTTAAACGTTTTTAGTGTTTTATTCAAATAGTGTACCTAACGTCAAAGTCAATTTTTTATTCGCTAGCGCCATCTAGTTCTCTGTCAGCTAGTAGTTATAAGTTACCAATATAAGTCAATGGTGTTTTATTTCATGTGTACTTTGTAAGTTTTCTTAAGTCATACATCTCTGTGATTACAGATTTATTTAACGCACAATTTGTAGCGCGTTTATAAATTATAATTACTTTTTATTTTCTGAAGGGTTAAGTTTCATAAATTAAATTTTAATAAAAATGCCGGCTTTTATTTTTAAAGGAGTCTTCTCTATGTTTTATTTCTAGTACGGAATCGGATTAGTTTTTGACATTTATAAAAGATTACATTAAGGAAATTGGGTTGGAAGTCGTTACCACCCGTTTTTTGTAGTAAAAATAATAATTACATTAAAAATGTCATTTTCAATTTTAATACACTTATGGGAGTATGAATTATGCTTTATCTGTCTTTAATTACGAATATTTCTGGCGGCCCGCCATCCAGTTCATGATTATGCACAGTGGTCCCTTTTAGTTTTAATCTTGTGAATATTTCCTTAATATTTCATATTTGCAGATGATTATTTCTAAAATACACATTTTAACTGTGACTACAGCTTAACTATTTCGTTATTCAAGATACTCTGTTATGTCAATTGGTGTCTTTTGACAATTCGTTGCATGGTTGCCAGCTAATGAATTTTCTCCCGAAACAAGTAGTATATATGATAGTTTTATTAAATAAAGTGTATTTTGTAATTTGAAAATTAAAGAGAGAAATTGATGCATTATTCTTAAAATAAATAGTTTTTATTTACAATGAGTCTACGACTCTTATAGATATTATCATATATGTAAAAACAATAGGAAAGAGACGTAAAAATATCAATGGCATATGCAAAGGTCTTGTAATGAAAACATTATATACCAAAATATATCGGCTAGAATTTTTTTTATATAATTAAGTTTTTTAAAAAACAAAAATTTATTTAAATTCGACATATTTATTATTTTACAATATTGTACAAATGAAGGATGTGTCATTAATAGATATGAAGAAAACGATGACTAATATGGTTTTATATTACCACACTCGTAAAAGAAATTATTATATTTGATTTATTTATTTATTTATTTATAACACGTCTTTTATTAAATACCACAACAACAACAAAAAATAAAAACTTACATATCAACTTATAAATAATATTTTTGTTAAGGTTTCCAGACAATAAAAAAAGTGTAGTTGTGGATAAACGAAAATATTTATCTAGCAACTCTCATAGGGGTTGCTGACGTGCTGCGACTAAAAGACTAGCATCCATGGTAATGTAGTTGAAAAAAAAGTTGCTGTTTTGTAAATTGTAATTGTCAGTTGTTATCCACAAACCGTTCAATATCCAGTCACCGTTCGTTGATATTATGTTTCGTTTTAAATAGTGTTCAAATCATTTTCAACTCGATAAATTAACAAGTGTAAAATGCCGCTCATACGATCCGCTAGTATTAACTTGTTCGTCGAAATTCTTCTTCGAATTGCTTTCCTGTCAACTTTTTGGTGAGCCACGTACATACGTTATTTACAGTGTTTAACAATTAATTTATTTTATTAAATAGTAATAAAAACTAACTAAGTTGTATAAAAGTTTCCCCATTTTAAATTAAACAATCATTTTGAATACATCCTTTATCTAACCATTAGTAAATTAAACGAATCGATAACGCAATGATTACTCAAATAAACGTGACAAATCTTGAATTGTTACATGGTCGTTATTTGTAAAGTTTAAGTTTGTTTTAGGAAATTGATTTCACATCAGTTCATCTCAATAAAACACTCTTGAATGATAAAAATGTGATTACCATATTGTGTTAGTATTTTGTTTTTACCGCTTAATTTATTAAATTATGCTTACTTCAAGATAACTTTGCAAATTGTTGAACTTGTTTCAAGTCCAGATATAAACCATTTTATCATATTAGTGTTGTCTTTGTCAGTGCACATGGTTTATAAAAATTAGTTTTCCACCTTTTACTATATAATTTAAAAATCGAAAATAAATTGAAAAAATGTTTGACTCGGGCAGGACTTGAACCGGCATCGTCAGCGTTCCGTGCTGTTGCTCTATCAATTGAGCTACCGAGTCCTACACCTCATCATCGAATTTTTTCAACTTATTGATACATGCACCTCTCGCGCAGACCTTTTACTATGCAAATATTAACATACCTTATAAACGTAAATATGATGAAGAGTTCATATGCTAACACAAATTGAGTCTGTCTGAATATTTACTCTGTGACTGTGTAAATATTGAAATTGAACACCTGAAAAGGAAAATTACTCCTCATAGTTGTAACCTTGATATTAACAATCATTTTCAATATTTGTATTATGTTACTGGCATGAAAATATAAAATGAAAATATAATATAAATAAAAGTATATTTGGTATCCACTACTAACAGATGCTAAAAACACAGCTATAGTAATACTGTTCTGTCGCTCTATGTTGTACAAAAAAAATTGTGCCCACGGGAGTGAAAACTAAAAATTGCTCCGTCTTATGAATATTGGATTTTGTATTATTTACAATGAGATTAAAATCTACAATCTATCAACTGTGATGATTTTTGTCATGTTATTACCATTGCACGGTTCTTTTAAGAGTTTGCTAGTTTTACCTATCCAACTCTTAAGTTAGTTTCTCTCCTACTTACTGTGTATACCCTTGGGTGCTTTGCTTTTATTTTTTACACCTACCCACTTAACAAATCTTTTTCTATTTCTTTTCTCTTGTACTTCAAGTTGCCTGGAAGAGATCGCTGCTTAGTGATCAAACTGACTTTTACTTATAAGTTAGTATGTAACACTTTCCCCTTTTATGTTTTTTTTTCTGTGGTATGCGTCTTAAATAATAAAGCTACAATGAAATAAAAGTAAATGACAAATATATCTATATTGATTCATTCTTGTTTAATATCTTGACAGCTACATGGAATCCATGACACCGTTTACTCGCGTCATCCAGCCATCTGAACTGCATGACAACTGTAAATTTCCGCGCCACGACTCATACGTGCCAACGAGTACACTCTGGAGTATAGTCTTGTCGGTCCCTTGTGTGCTGTCGTTGCTTGCTTGGGCGTTCTGCAGCGATTGTAATGATGCTTTAGAGGTTAGAGGAGATATCTCATAATATATATATTTTTTTATGTTAATGTAATGAAACCAATAGCGTAGTTAGGCGGACAACTGCCCTGGTGTACGTATCGGATCCTCATCCCCTCTTTTAGCATAGCTTGAATTAAATGAATTCTACGCTTATATCTCCACAAGGATAAGGTTAGAGGGCCCCTAAGTTCCGGGGCCCTGGTGCACTACACCACATGGCCCTGCGATGGATGCGCCACTGAATGAAACGTGAAATATCCCGGCCATAAATATAAGAAGTTATATAGTTTAATGTTTAAACATATAATTCTTAACCGGCATAGCATAAAGCATAGTAGTTTATGGCTTCAAATCCCAGGCAAAGATGTAAGATTTTAAGCTATAGCCTGCATGTATATGCAGAATGCACAGTATTTTTGTCACACAGCCACGAGGTATTGGTCAGGTCAAAAAGGTACAAATCAATTTTTTTATGAATTAATTTGTCTTGCAAGTGTGCACCAAACGTGCACATTTATCATGCTTCCCTTTTGGAAAATCGAACCCGGTACCTGTCGCGCTGAACGCATCGCGGCGTTCACTAACAATGATGTCATTGCGTTGTTGCTAAATTGGTATAATTCGGTTATAGCTTCATTATCGCGCCGCGATAGTCGAATGTTCGAAAAACATCATTTCTAGACGTCATAGAAGCTAAATTTTTTGTACATTTCTTTGGCCTTTCGTCTAAATTAACCAAATTAACCCTAGTAATTAAATTCAAAACATTTACGCATCTGTACTTCTACATAAAGCTGAAGTGTTTGTTAGTTTGAACGAGCTGATCTCGGGAACTACTGGTTCAAATTACGTAAACTGTTCCAGATACCTACTCAAAAAAAATATGTATAAAAGAATAATTTCTCTTTTAAGTTTTAGTTGCAACGCGACGAGACGCGACCGACGTCTTGGGTAACAGCTTAATTTTTTAAAACTGAAGAGAAGGTTTGAAAAACAAATTTTGACGCGGACAAAGTCGCTGGCAAAGATATTGTTATATGCATATTAGCGCCGGTGTTCAGTGTCCCCTGAAGGATAATAAGATAAAAATAAGAAGGAGAATTATTACTAAATTTAATGTCCGGTCTTGCCTCTTTACTAAAGTAGTAATATTTATTTCTACTCCTTCCAGTTCCTCCTGGCGTGGTCATTGTCACTTGGAATGACCGGTGTTCTGACAGACACTGCAAAACTTATAGTAGGTGAGTTTTCTTTCTATTAACAACTAACAATCTAGCAAAGTGTTATAACCTTAGTTAGAAAAGTATATTCGCAATTAGAAAAATGTGGAATGGATCCACATTTTTCTAATTAATCTAGATTAGCCATACATTGTTACTATTACCAACCACCAATGAGCTAAGGTAGACAAACGTCATAAAAAAATAATTATTATTTGCTTGAAAACAATTCCAGGTCGACCTCGTCCCGATTTCTTCTACAGATGCTTTCCAGATGGCGTGGAAACGCCTGATCTCAAGTGCACGGGAGACGCAGCCGATATTATGGAGGGTAGAAAGTCTTTTCCCAGCGGACACAGCAGTTGTAAGTGTAAAACTACCCTCCCTTTATTGAACGTCTCTTTTACTAAAAATACGTGTAAAATGTCGCAGCTACATTTTGTCGACTATAATAATTGCTTTGAACATAAAAGACTCGGGATTCGATTTCAGGCACAATATTAAAAATCATGAAGAATGAGTGTTTTTACAATGTTTCATCCACACGCTGTTTTCGATCTAAATGAGTACATACTCACTCTAGCTGTACCCGCGACTTTGTCCGCCTGACATGGTTATTTTGGGCGTCTAAATTTGTTTTCGCAAACCTTCTCATCTTTATAAATTGAAACTAAAGCACGACGTCGTTCGCATCCCGTCGCTCTTGCGAGGTAATCTTACAAGATAGACATGTACTGTTACGTAAATTTTTTTAGATCGTTTGAAGAGGAATCATTCTTTCCAATATTTATTTGTTTCTTGAAAATTAAAAATTTCACCCGTTTTTTTCACATTTCCCGCTGTATCTTCGATTCTATTAGTCACAGCGCGATGTTTATAGCCTAACCAATACAAAAAGAATCTTTTAATTCGAACTAGTAGTTCCCGAGGTTAGCGCGTTCAAACAAACAAACTCTTCAGCTTTATATATTAGTATAGATTGGGAGAGGCAAGGAGATTCTTGCCAGTTCTTCTCGTTCGTTCTAGGCCCTTGATTTGGAAACTGTTAGTAAATTTTGAGTCTTTAGTTTTTAACTGGTGTGACGATCTCAAGTAAGTATATTAAGTTACCTACGTGATAGGTTGGTGCATGTATCAATAAGTTGAAAAAATTCGACGATGAGGTGTAGAACTCGGTAGCTCAATTGGTTAGAGCAACAGCACGGAAAGCCGACGATGCCGGTTCAAGTCCTGCCCGAGTCGAAAAATTTTTCAATTTATTTTCGATTTTTTAATTATACCTACGTGATTCTAGACTTATGGCCTTTATTTCAGTGTCCTTCTGTTCACTCGGTATTGCGTCGTTGTGGCTCTGCGGACGCCTCGGAGTGCTGTCCCGCGGGAGAGGGTCGGGACTTCGAATCTCGGTGACATTAGCGCCGTTAGTTATAGCGTCCTGCATCGCGTTGTCGCGCACTTGCGACTACCATCATCATTGGCAAGGTAAATCAATTGTTTTTCATCTATGAACACTAATAATAACTAGTAAATTAAAAATCGACATGGGCGGGAATTGAACCGGCATCTACAGCGTCCCGTGCTGTTGCTCTAACCAATTGAGCTTCGGATACATGCACCTCTCGCGCAATGTAATTTCAACCTTACGACTGACGTATGTAGGTTAAAATTTCTCAATAAATAAATATATTTTCTAAGAGATTAAGAAACTAATTGCGTCCGTGGTCAAACGATTCCGGGTTCGAATCCTGGGGAAAAATATAATTTAGGTTGCGTAGGCCATAGAAGTTATATTGACTGTTTGCTCATAAATAAAATCGATCAGCGATTCGACATTTAAATGTGTCTGCCTTCTTGTAAATAAGTAAATAAATAGTTTATAAGCAATTATACATAGAAACATTCTAAAGTGACTTCTACACTAACGGTTTAAAACGAGAAATGTATTATTAAACTTAACTACAAATTATTTGAAACTTGTCAGGTTGTATTTAAAAAATAGTTGTGTGTGTGTGTGTGAAACAGACAGAATGTTTATATGAATTTGTGTTTATGAGAGAGAGCTTATGTGAACGTGCGTGTGCAATTTAAAAGAGATATTTCTTTTTGTTCCATGCAGATGTCCTAGTCGGTTCCATTTTAGGTCTTTCGGTGTCAACGTTTTGCTACCGTCAATACTACAATCCGCTAACGTCAGACCAGTCCGGGATTCCGTACATCGTATCTGGATCCAGCTTGAAGTATTTCAATGGGAAACCGGATATCAGTCCCACTAAGGACACGAGAGAGGAAACATCGCCGTTGTTGAAGAAGGAGGATAAGTGGATATAAATGGAAATATTTTTTAATCAAAAAAATAATGGATGTTAGTATAAAATTCAATAATACATAAAAATATTGAAAGGCGGTGAGCCGGGTTTGGAAACATGGGAGATTGTTCTGGCTTTGGTTGATATGGACAGATGAAAAGCACTAGGTTGGCCCTCCTCTCTGTGTCAAATTCCTTCATCGATAGTGTATTTTTTCTAACTTGGCAAACGTTGATGATGCAGAGATAAAGAAATGTCGATTGTAGATGGGCCAAACGCCCTTAATATTCAAAATCATTTTTGTGACGATTTTTTTTTATTCGTTGTGTCATTATTAATTCGACGTTTGTAACGCTTTTCAGCGATCGTGCATGAGTGGGACTTCTACCTTCTATTGTCGTTGTCTTTGCATACATCCCATCCTTATGTAAATGTCAAACTAAAAAAATGTTATTCTTTCCATTTGCGTAAATTTATTTGCATGATTTTTATTATTAAGTATAATATATAATCCAGTCTCAAAGTGTTTTTAGTGTAAATGAACGTTAGACTTGAGAAAAATCACGATTTTAAGTAAATAGAATATTTGTTAACAAAAATGCCAAGTTAGGAAAAATACGAATCAAATTGAATTGTAACTAATTTGATTGCATCTGCGTTACGTCTTCCTATAATTAAAAAAAAACTAAGACATTCCACCAAAAAGGTCTGTATTATAAATTTAATTCGTTTAGTTAATTAAAACTAAATAAAAACTGTTAGTGAAATACGTTGTGATATGAGACTATTTATTTACGTATTAAACGAGTGTTGCTAGAAACAAAAAAGGTTATTTTCAGTATACTTTGTACAATTTAGGATGTAAATTATATTTTGTAATTATTTCTAATCATTCCATTGTTGTTTTTTATAAGATTTTTTTGTATATTTTGCGCGTTTTTGTTCTAGAGAGTATTGTAAATCAAGTGTTTATTTTATATGAGTATAAATGAATAGGGGTAGATGTAAGAAGTGAACAGAGCATGCCTCACACACTTATACACATCCAAACACACACACACACCTAAACACTCACATACCCATCCAAATACACACTAGCGGTGTGTGTGTTTGGTGGGACTTATTTTTTGTGAACTTCTATTGTAATGTATAGTATTTTAAACAGTATTAAATTTATTTAGCTGCTCTTATCCACTGAACACGCCCTAAAAATGTTTCTTAGAAAATCAATTCTATTTCTTTTTTTCCCTTTCATTTCTTAACCGTTCACCCCTCCTAGAAAAGTTCTGAATCTGCCCCTCGGTAGAAGCTATTCCTCAAATTAATTTAAGATGTAGGTATATCATTTTTAACAAAAGATGTATCAGAACATGGATGCATTATAACAAAAAAAAATAACATATCATTGTATGAATAACATTTCAAGAATATACTGGTAGTTTAGGAGTATTTATATTTAAATAAAACGGTTTAAAACGCAAATTATAGTTATCTTATTTTTACATCAGGTGGTAGTAAAATTAAATATAACTTAACTACTACATTTCGCGTTTCAAACCCTTCAAAGTGTATTATTTAAATGCGAACTATGTTTGTAAATGCATTTTTCGATGGATAAAATTTCCAGTCAAGGACTAACACCGGTTCGAATTTCTGATAAAATTGATTAAATGAAAAAAATAAATCAAATTCGCTTTCGTTCCGACCCGTTCAAAACTGCTTTATTAACCAACTTTAACTAAACACCTCTTCAGTTTTTTTAAGATACTTGACCACTATTATAGCCAAAGTTGCTGGGTTCAAATCCCGTTGAAACGGTGCATACTTTGTATGGCAGTTGATCCTACTTGTCTGTAAATAAAATCAATCCGAAACGTGTCCGTCCCACGATCCACACGTGGGAAACTTTTTATAATCGTAATTAAAACCTAATGTTTAATTATTTTTTTTTCGAAATGTTTATTATGTCTAGTTAGTTACCATTTTTATGTAAATCTGTACTTAATGTCGTTTATATTTGTATGACAAAAATAAATGTCGTTTCTTAGTTTGTCGTATTATTTAATTCATTAATATTTTAAAGCTGTCAAGTTTGTTTGTTTGAACGCGCTAACCTCAGGAAGTGCCGATTCGAGTTGAAACCATATTTTTATTCTATTTTTTAAGATTAACTTGCAAGAACGACGCGACGGGACGCGGACGTCATGGATAACAGCTATCTATACTAATATATAAAGCTGAAGAGTTCGTTTGAACGCGCTAATCTCAGGAACTACGGGTTCGAATTGAAAAAAATATTTTCGAGTTGGTTAGAGCATTTATCGAGGAAGGCTTTAGAATATAAAACATTGCACTTTGACTAATAGGAGCGAAGAAACAGCGGAAAATGAGGGAAAAAACGGGGAAAATTATTCATCCATATGGGCGTACGCTGCGAAATAGTTTAAGATGCCCCAATAATATATGAGAAAGAATGATTTCTCTTGACAATAAAAATAAAAAAATGACTACTATATCTCTATCTATGTTTTAAGATTAACTTAAAAGAACGACGGAACGCAACCGACGTCGCAGGTAAGCTTCAAGTCATAAAGATTGTAAAACAAATTTGGATGTCCAAACATCTATTCTACGCGGACGAAGTCGCTAACGCAGCTAGTTTGATAAAATAAAACATATATAATACCAATAATCATTTATTTCAGTCATATCCCAAATTAGACGAATCACATCCATCTAAACTTATTAAATTACAAAATTATAAAAATCAATTGGAATAATTATCACATACATAAAACATTACGCTACGACTAGTGTTTCATGTCAAGTTGAGAAACATCAGAAAATCAGTACAAAACAATATTTGACTGTTTACAACATGCGAGGGTATTTCAGAGAATGTCAATATTTATCATGCATGCATACAATAATTATAGTTACATTATTAAATTCACCATATTATTCGCTGTGACTCCTCAAAATCCATCCACATGAAGTCTTTATTGAAAAACAAATGGAAGGTTGCAAAATTAATCCCCAAATACCAGATCAGTTCAAAGAACACAACCTTATACGAGGACTTAACAAATCTCAAACGAATTATAATGTAAGGTACGAGAAAGTACCTCACATCAACCAACTTCTGTAATGCCAGTGTTAAAAATAAACTTATTGTGTACGGCAACAGAAAACTAATACAATTTTGATCCTTCAAATTATCATATAGACTGAACAGTAGGAAGATATAAGCCGGTACGGTTGCATATTTGGCATATTCATATTTTCCAAACCAACGGTTCCAAACATAGAATGTGTAATGTCGGTTATCGGCCAGCAAATATGGATGAACCAAAGTATTGAAGTGAACGATAGCTGTAAATAGGAAAGCTAAGAAAATAACCTGCAGCTTATTTCTGAAAATCAATTTAACGGTAGATGGCAACCTACCAAGCACATATGGCAACCCAAAAATGCCGTAGAACAGCAGGAAGTACAGTAATTGTGGTAAATGCAACGTTGCCTGATGTGCTGTTTTATCTCCGACGACAATAGAACCATTTACATAAACAAAAGTAACGAAACCTAGCAATACTAATACTTGTTGGATGATTATAATAAAGTCAGATACAGTGAGAAATTTAAATACAGTAGTGAAAAATGTTGATAAGTGGTATTTTAAAGCAATTACCACATCGTTCAAATTGTAGTACCCTTTTAATTTAGATGAATCAATGTTACTAGCGATAATACTTCGGCGATTGGCATGTTTGTTTAAATAAGTGTTACCGTATACTCTGGAGCTTCTCAGAAGCAACCCGAGTACTTTATGTCCAAGAACCATAGCGATCCATACAACATTTGTCTGTCTCATTAAAACCGATAGCACTCCGAATACAAAGACAAGCCACTTGCTCTTTATAACTACGGATGTGATCGTGAAAATTAGTAGAACTAGCAAAGATAATGTATCAGTATAGTAAACGAATGAGAAAAAGTAAAGTGGAGGTAAAATCGCTAAGCTAAGAGATTGCATCACCACTTTTAATTGGCTACCAGTGTTGCTGCCGTATATAAATTTTAGCAAAAATGCGAAAATTATAAGGTTTACACATGACGCTATCAAGTTGACAAGTCTTAGATAATACGTATTACAGTCTAGGTTTAGAACCGATATAATAGACGATACAAGGTATAGACCTGGCAGTGTGGTGATCTTTGGGTCCCAATAAGAGAAATTCCTCTCGCAATAGGCAATTCCCTGCGGTATATGGAACAGTTCATCTATAACCGTTGGTTGTGCTTTGTAAACAGCTTCAAAAAGATGGAATGATATAAACAGATAGGCGCTTAGAACTGTTAAGAAGATTGTTATGAACTTTAGTGATGCAGACATTGCTCTGAAACAAATAATTTTAATTAACTTCCTTTCCTTTTATCTCCTCAGTGAATGCTCCATGTATTCAAATTTAAGAAAAATACATGGGGACTGACAATAATTGGATAATTTCATCACCGCATGGGGGAATGGGGAAATAGGTGAAGTAGCCTGATAGTGTGGACAGATCGACCAGCCTTCTATTGGTGTTGTCAATAGAAAATAATAATAAATATTAGTTTTATATAGAAATAGAAAGGAAATGTGTTTTTTCTTGGTTTTGCATATCCTCTGATCAATTTTACTCTTATTATTAGGATGGCTTACTGAACCATATAATTTACGTATATTTACGGGAGCATAATCGCCGTATTAACCTTGTATATATGTAAATATCTATCTCTTACCTCGGTGGTTGATAACGAATTTAAAGAAAAGATTGTATAATTTAGGTACTCAATAAACTTTATGGACAATTACTGTGAACAATAATAACAAGTTTCCAAAAAGATTAACGTCCTGAAAACTTTAATCGTCTAGAGATTGGTAATGATACAAAAACCAAAAAAATTGAAAAACTTACAATATTTGAATTCGTAGGCCGCAAGCGTGAATTAACCTCAAGCACTTCGTTTGTATTATATTAGATAACGGCTTTTTCTATTCTATTCACTTTTACATATTATACATTGGTGTCATATTTTATTTTGTAGTATATTTTCATAATTAATATAAGAATTAATAAAGAATAATCAATTCTTGTAGCGGCTCCTCAAAAGCGCGGTTTTTTTCAGCATTGACAGTTCAAGTCAGCGTCGTTTTCAAATCTGACTTTGACATATACCCTTAAAATCCTGACAATTGACATAACAATATTTCAAATCTAACGGTTGCTTGTTTTAAAATTTACAACACGACTAACAGTGATTGTTTACAACTTAAGTAATTTAAGGCTTAAGTTCAAATGTGGTTTTCATGAGCCATGCCTCAAAGTACTGGTGATGATTTCGTGACGAAACTAAAGGCTCACGGCAACAACGACTTTTGTGATTTGGCTAAAGCTCACGAAGAATACAATGTCTTGCTCAGCAAGTTTACTTCAACTGAAAAACCTTCGTTCTCCCTCAATATTTTATGTACCTTATGCAGGTTGGTTATTATAAGTATATTTAATACAGCTTTAATTCTTTTAATTCCATAAACAACTACTAACATCAATAACAGGAACCTAGAGAAAGTACCTTCGTGGAGAACCAAAATTAACCGCAAAGACTTGTTAAAGTTGTGTATTGATTGTGTGAGACAGACAAGGGGAATCACTGGACAAAAGCAAGTTATGGTGTTAGCCGCGATTTATCATATACATAAATTTATTGTTAAAGAGGTAAGACAAATTATTAACTGACCAGACACCCCACTTATTAAATTGTTCACCAAAAACGATCTAGCTGTATTCTCTGCCCAATCTGTCAACAGTATAGTTATACAGACTGCTGGTAGATTAATCCAACATAATTTAAGCAAATGTGGCATGGAAGCTTCTTAACATATCACCAGCACTAATAACTATTGTGTTGTCACTTTCTTTTCATTTGTTAGTTTAAAAACAACTTTAGCCCTATTTCCTATTACTAATTTGTGTTAAAAAATTAAACTCACAATGAATATAATGCACATTTAAAATTGATTGTGATAAGTCTGACAGCATGCTTTATGTGGAATGTTTTTAATTACCAGACGGCAAATCACGTTTAACCAATGATTATAAAAAATACATTAATTAACATCATTCTATAGTAATATCGTAAAGCTGAAGAGTCTGTTTCTTTGAATGTGCTAATCTAATCTACTGGTTCGAAATTGAAAAATGTTTTTTTGTGATAGTTTTATAATTAATCAAGGTAGCTCCCTGAAATGGCTATAAAAAACAGAAAAAAAAGTCTATCTAAACTCTTCTATAAACAAATCTATGTGAACAAGTTGCTGGCACAGCTAGTTTATAATATATATTTTTCTAATATTACAGGATACTTCTGTACCAGCAGAGTTAATATTAAAATTATCAATTATGCCATTTGAATGTGATACACAATACCTTCTCAAAGACTACCACAAAACATACTGGAGTATATTAGCAGATAGAATAAATTATATAGAGAGATTGAAACCAACACAAATACCAATAATCAAACTATTGCCTAAGTTGAATGAAGACTTATCGAAGGTTGCCAAAATATATACAGATCAATATGAGTTCTGTGTAAATCTTTTACCGTTTATAATAAAAAAACTAACTTTTATCTATGTTGAAGTATCTAGTTTGAATGAAACATATCGGATGATTTTTGAGAGTATAAAAGCATACGAAGAACAATTCAAGACACTGAATGAGAAACAGATAAACGATCTATATGTGAAATTTAGTGACTGTATCTATGTTGTAACAGAGAATTCAGCGAGGAGGAATTTTAAAGATTCACCCTTAGATGAAATAGTAAGGGTTTGTCTTAACCTACTGGGGCATAGATCTGACGTTTTCCACTGCTTGCAAACATTCTATTTAAATTCATTTCTATATATTTTCAATAGGCACACAGATGCGGAGAATGTTTTCAAAAACTTATTAGTGTCCTGTGAAGCTACAGAGAAACTAGGTTACAAAGTTCTCATGGAGTTAACGTACCCCTATTTGAACCAATTACTAAGGCTGTGCATAGAGTATTATCAAAGACGGCAGAATTTGCAATATCTACAAGAAAATTGCTCAAAATTAATACTGTTTCTTATGGGTCGAGCAAAATGTAAACAGCTGATCAAATGTGAAAATTGCTCTATTCAAACCGGCTTACATGACGCACTTCGCCTCAGCTTTTTAGTTAAATACCTATCGCCCCTTAATACAGACATATTAAAATCAATTATAGATAGACAATACAAAATCCTATACAATCTTAGAAGCTTAGGATGCGTCAACTATGAAAAACATTACACCAAACTACAAACAGACATACACAACATGGCGATACAGTTCTATAAGAGTAAAAACAATGATGAATCAATAAATCTATTTAACATTTATGTTAAGAATGAGTTGAAAAACCAGTCTGTGGGCAAGAATATATGTCGGGCTCTATATAATAAGAGTATATGTCATTTAGAGAAACGATCATATGATGTTGCCTTAAGAGATGCATTCTTGTGTATGGCATTTGATAAAAATGAAAATATCGAGAAGTATATGAGTTTAGTGCTGGATATAAAGGGGAAGGCGGTGCAGAATGAAGTTGACGGTCATCAAGCATTGCAGTTGATGTCTGTGCTGGACGCTTGTGACTCTATGGTTCGTGGATTCTATGGGAATTTGGAACCAGTTTTAAAGGATATAAGATTTAGGTAAGCTTTAGTATCCCATTTTTCCAAATACCATTGTATCTTGGGTTTTTGCACTTCAGCCTTCATAATGTGACTGTTTGACTGATTTTTAAAGTGTCCTTTATATTATTTGGTAGCTAAAAAACCCCAGAGAAGTAGTATTTTTGAATTCTGATACATATTTGCGGAAATTTATCGAATTAAAACTCTACATTTAAATTGCGCGGGCAAACCCTAATTTATGAAATACGCAATACGGCTAGTATATAAATATATTGGCCATTGGTGTATGGTGATCATAAGATCCACATTCTACATACATTTGTGCTAAACATTTAAATTTGAACATATGAAATAAACAAATTTGTTAATGTATTAATGCAGAGAATAGAACAGTATAACGCTAGGAACGGTGGTTTATAGCACTGTTTAGAAGCAAGTGACGTCGTCATAAACCCGACCAATCAGAATCGTTTTGTGTCACGTGACAAATGTTTAAAAAAGTATATTTTATTTAAATCAGTTATTATACCATATGTGACATGGTTTTACTACTTCAAAACTTACTGGTATTCCTAATACTGATTACCGTACTTGTCACTATATTTTTCGCATTGCCAAATAACCCATGACAGTTTACTTCTTCTACTCATGATGGCGAAATGTCGAGAACCAAGTTTCAATAACGATGGCCGAATAGCTCGAAACCCAAGATTCCAAGTTCCAGTCAAGTCTGTAGTTTGCATTAAGTAAAACACTTTTAACGGCTTAAAATTGGAATTATATTGGTACCTATATGCAATTTATTTAGCTTCGACGTTTCGTAAGCCATGGCTAACAAATAGATTAATTAATAAATAAAATTTCAGTGAGCTGTTGAAACAGGAATTTTCAATATATGAGAGATTGTGGCCATCTTTAGTTCCAATGACCGGGGTCATTAGATCTCTAAACAATATGATTCAAAGGAAACCTGACTGGATTCTAGGTATGTTTAATAATCAGTAGATTATAAAATTCACGCATATTTAAATTTAAAATTGAAAAATTTTCCGAATCGGACAGGACTTCTACTGGCATCCACAGCGTTCCGTGCTCTTACTCTAACTAATTAAGCTACCGAGTCCCACTCGTCTATTGATACATGCAACTCCCGCGCAATGTTAAGTGGTAAACCTTAATACGAAAGTATTAAGGTTGAAATTACATTCGATGTGCACTTTCTCTTTTATTTTACTCTATTTATAACTCAGGGACGGCTAAACCAAATTGGATAAAAATAGGCGTGAAGGTAGAATAGAATCAAGAGAATATAGAATATACATAGCTCTGAGACAAAAAACATACAGCCATTATAAAACTTTTTAAATCTTTCACTTTATCTTGCACTGTCAGTTTTTGTTTATTTTTTATATACAGACCAACTGTGTGTGTATTTATTGCTGGTTCTATGTTTTTATCTATATCTATACTAATATTATAAATGCGAAAGACATACAGAGTCAGACAGACGGACAGACAGGGTTAGTCTGTTTGAAATTTGATAAATTGAAAACAAATGAAATTTGGTACACAGACATTTTTGTACCGCGAGAAAGGACATTGGAGACTTTTAATATCGAAAAGGGTTGATAGAGATTGAAACAGGGGATGAAAATTTGTATATTAATTCGTGATTGAAGCTAGAACAATGTAATTTTCTTTGGGGAATAGGAGTGGGAGTGGGATGAGGAATAAGAGTGGGAGTTAGAGTAGGAGTTATGTGAGGTGAGAGTGTTGCGGCAAAGTAGCACTTATAACATAGATTGGCTGCCTTACATAAATTAATAAACAGCCTAAATAAAAAATTCTACGTCATGTCACTGTTTCACGCGGACGAAGTCGCGGGCACAGCTAGTTAATAAACTTATTTAAGCAGTATATAAGTAATTTTTACCCTTACAGTTGAAGATAAAACCATGTTAAAGCATTTGTTATACGACATTGTGTTAAAAACACCGACTTTAGTGCGAGCGATACACGAGACAAACTTTAAACAAACCGTTAACGATTTACTTGAAGATATGGAATGTCAAGTGAGTATTATTCAATTTGAGGGTAGTTTTACAATTGCTATGTCGATCTGTTTCTTTTTCGTACATAAATACCTACTTGTCTATAGTTTACGCGAGTAGTACACATTTAAATAAAACACTTTAACGGTTTAAAACGCGATATATTAGTTAAACTTATTTGAAAATGATTTTTAACTTCGGCCCGACGTTTCGGATGCTTTGCAGCAGCCGTGGTCACGGGGAGACTAAAGATGGAGGATGTCTCTGACGTCAAAGTAAAAAATTGCTACGCTAGCGCCATCTGTTCCGTCGAAGTTGGTATTTGGCGAAACTGGCCGGGTCCGTACAGAATTGACTAACGGTGTCTTCGCGTTTGCTACGCGTTTGTACGCGAGTAGTACACATTTATTGGGATCCAGAGTTTTTAATATGGGATCCCAGGTGTTTGATAGTTTGAGGCCGTCCTCCCTATTGAAATTTCGGTGTTTTTTGATAAGTCAAAATCAAATAAGTTTAACTAATATATCGCGTTTTAAACCGTTAAAGTGTTTTATTTAAATTTTTCGTACATGGTTTGCGAATGTATTTTCCCATATGACGGGGTCGTTGGTGAATGATAGCAATGTATTTCTAATAATCAACGGATCGGGGATTCGATCTGTACTGGGACCAAATTCCGTCCGGATCTCGAACCACCGTCCGCAGATGAAAAAATCCGTTAAGTTTAATCGCGTTTCGGCTATACTCTGTGGATTTCCGAATATCTAAAGCCAAAAAAGGTCGACAGTACATCTTATTTACATGTCATTTGGCTAAAGTTTATCTACGATCAAGTAAACCCCCATGCTTGTCTGTCCGTAAAAAAATGGCCACTCTTTTAAAAAAATGGTTTAATATGTCTAGAACAGACCTGTTAATTTGGTTCCGATTAAAATCGAACCCTCCTTGGTGACTGTCAAATAATGCAGTAACTGAGCCAGCCTAGTTTTATACGGGGAATCCCCGCAGCGAGTTTCGGTATATCAGATTGTAAATAGTTGTGTATTTTACATTGTGATACAAATTTAAATATGGAACCATTCTCTTCTATAAACTATGTTTTATGAGTATGAATGTCTATTGTATTTTAATAAGTTCTATGTTTTTAGAAACTGTCATTAGATGACAGAATGGTGCAAGTAGCACTACTGATGTTGAAATCTGAATTCAACCTGCAAGAAGCGACAGACAAACATGGCTGGAAGCCAGCAGAATATGTAAGTATATATATTAATATTATAAAGCTGAAGAGTTTGTTTGTTTGAACGCACTTATCTAAGGAACTACTGGTTCCAATCTACTGTGTCGATTAGAGTATTTGTCGAGGAAGGCTGTTAAACATCACGCTGCGACCGCCTCTCTTATATTCATTTTATTGGACAAAATAAATTAAAAACGCGATTAATATATTTTTTTATTTCATCACCTCCATCCCTACGTGACACAGCTGCTGAAAAGTATCCTTAACGTCGGCCCGTAGTAAAAATAAGTTCACTAATATATTTCGTGTTTTAAACTGTTTAATTGTGTGTATTTCAATCTTATAAGGCAATTTTTGCCTTTTGTGGTTATTGAAGGATATTTTCATATAAATCTTTTACAGATGTCGAATCCAAACCAAAGCACAATATATCGAACTATGTCTACCGAGTACGATGTAATGAAAGATGCAATTCGTGCCGTTGATTTGCTGTCTACCCTCAAAAAGTTGGATCAGTGTAAGGTTTTTTTTTTAAGTTTAAATCAAGTCAAATTCCGCTGTATCGTATGGGGCATGGGGCGAACACATTTCTGTGGCCGTTTCAATCGATTTACATCCAATAAGTTCATCACTCTTCTATTTTATTCTACTGCAAGTCTTAACCATGAACAGTGCAAACGAGCTATGAAGGTAGTTTTGTTTGTATCAAATATGAGACCGCTAGAGGCAGAGTAATCCAACTGGAGTTATGACTTGATTTATTTACATATATAAACAAATAATAGTAAAAAATCATTTTCGTCTAAATTAATTGCGGATTTTTCTCCTTATTGAAAATCATGTATATTGTTATTAGGCCACTCTGCCTCTAACAGCGTCATATATCTCTTTGAATTATGTATATTTATTTATTTATTTATTTATTCTTTATTGCACAAAAAATAAAAATATTACAAATTAAACCTATATACTAGAATGGAGAGCAATGGGCGGCCTTATCGCTAACAAGCGATCTCTTCCAGGCAACCTTAAGTATACCTCAAGATGTTGCCTTCGAAACATAGTGAATAGATTAAGGTTGGGTAAGACGATACTTGCCTGTAAGGGTGGCGTTGGGGCGGGAAGGGCCATAGATTGCTCCTACTTATACTAATTATTGTCCACAGTATCCCCGAATCGTTTGTCCCATTTCTTACAACTGTGCCAAATTATCCAGTTTCAACTATTACACATGGAACGGACGCTGCATGGCTTACAATTGGCCCATATCTGCCGAAAGATGGCGGGAATCGCTAGTGACAAGTAAGTATATGTAATTAAACTTTTCGAACGGTTTAAAACGGGCTATTGAGTTTAAAAACTCATCCCAGCCGTGACCACACCTGTGGAGAAGCTTACGAAATATCAGGCCGTAGTTAAAAATAAATTAAATGTTTATTTGTATTTTTCGCGTTTTAAACAGTCAAAGGGAAATCGTGAATCCACTAATGATGATAATTAATGTTTGTTATGTGTATCTTATAACTACTGAACAGATGTTGATGAAATTTTAAGGTGGACAGAATAACAATTTGTATTGTCTGTTGTTTATAAGATACACATTATCTACAACAATTAACAGTTTAAAAGGCGAAATAAATGTGGTCTTTAAATAAACACTTTAACGGTTTAAGGCGCGATATATATTAGTTTAACTTACTTGGAAATTATTTTAACTACGGCCCGACGTTTCGGATGCTTTGCAGCAGCCGCTGACACGGAAAGTCTAATATATATCGCGTTTTGTGCCGTTTAAGTGTATTTAAAACACTTAAACGGTATAAAACGCGATATAAGTGTGCTACTCGCGTAAACTAGACAGTATGAATTTGGTAATTTATTTTTAGCCATGTTATAGCAAGTAGTGGGTTTTATTAATAGAAATAATAAAAGAACATTTGTTCGAAACAATAATACGACGAGTTGTTAAATATAGAGAAACAATGGGATTTAATTAAGATAAGAAAACGTTTTGTTATTATCGACTTTTATCTGTGGGTAGCGTGGCCGAGCGGTCTAAGGCGCTGGTTTAAGGCACCAGTCTCTTCGGAGGCGTGGGTTCGAATCCCACCGCTGCCAAGAATTTTTTTGCTTGTTAGTCTACCCTCAATTTTAGACAATTTTAAATGTATAGTTCGCAAAGTGACAAAAAATCACACGAGTTCGTTTTTTTTATCTAGTCGGTCTAGTGGTAGCTACACGGAACAGAGGTTCCATCATTAGAACTAAACCGAGTTCGAGAGATTAGTTCACATTATCTGTTAACCATGTGGGGGGGGGGGGAGGATAAAGCTAACAAATTACTTTTTCCGCCGCTAATTGTATGTTAGACAGACAGTTAAACAGACATAATATCAAATACTATCTATAGTTTACGCGAGTAGTACACATTTAAATAGAACACTTTAATGGTTTAAAACGCGATGTATTAGTTACTAACTACTATAAACGAATATATCGCGTTTTTAACCGTTAAAGCGTTTTATTTAAAAGACATAATATCAGTACAATGGAGATAATTTTCAGAGTGGCCTACATACGTTCCTCCGGTCTGTTGCTGTCCCATGCTGTTTCTAAGTGCGGTGAGATGCAAGAGATCGCTAGAGATGGTGTCACATTGTATTCGGAGCTTATGAAGAATGGACAGGATCTAGAAGCAGCGCTCATCTTTTTGTGTGAACTTGGGGTGAGATTATGAGCTATTAAATAAAAGATAATTATTTTTCACATGATGGTTGTATATAAATTAAAAATCTATTTACATTGAAAAATAAAATCGTGTGCTATTTGTGTTTTTAAACGCCGTAGATGCCCCGCCGCACTGTTATTATTATTCTGAATAAATTTAAAGCCTGTCTATAGTTTACGCGAGTAGTACACATTTAAATAAAACACTTTAACGCAGCAGCCGTGGTCGCCGGGAGTCTCCCCGTGGCCACGGCTGCTGCAAAGCATCCGAAACGTCGGGCCGAAGTTAAAAATCATTTTCAAATAAGTTTAACTAATATGTCGCGTTTTAAACCGTTAAAGTGTTTTATTTTAAAAAAATATCCATCCTAAGTTAATAAAAAATAAAAATAAACAACATATCATAAATATGTTATGCAAAGAACCTATGGTTAAAGTTGCGTAACTAATAAATATAATATTTAACTGTTTAAAACGTAAAACCTACACGTTTTGCGGTTTGAAACAAATAAAAGTGTCTTCTATAATATGTATTTCTTGGTAATACAGTTTAGCCTTGGCCGCACTGGCTTTATAATTATTCACATTCAAGACCTTCTAATGCTTCCCTACATCGACACATTCCCGACATTTACTTCTATACCGTAATTTTCGTTTTTTTTTTTGAAACCTGCTCAGGTTGCCTGGAAGAAATCGCCATATGCGATAAGGTCGCCTTTGCACGAACATGTTTTATTTTGTATTTATAATTCTAAGTGTCTATGTTTGTGCAATAATATTATTATTATATGTACTCGCCTGAACTTCATAGAATACTTAAATATATATATTATTTACTATTTATAGATGTATTACGTGAAATGCAATAAGCAATCAACAGCGGCTCAAATACTGATGACAGCGGAGAGGTGTTTAGCAGACGAGGGCCGAAATTACAGTGATACACAGTGTAGGTTTTTTTTTTTAGTTTTGATAACATTTGTCTGATTTACGAACTTAAAAAGCGTCTTATATAAAAATAAAATTGACTTATTGTCATAAGTAATGCCACACTAAACACCGACTCAGTGTTTGTTTCTCACTTGGCAAAAACATCACCACAAATATGGCAAATATTTCAAACCCTAAAAAAATTAGTGATGACTTTTTGAAGAAGATTTCCTTGAATTTTATAACGAACCGTGCCATTTCCTTTTTTTTTATTACATGGTTTGTTTGTTTCAGTGCACCTAGCACTGGGTAAAATTATGGAACTTGGACTGTTACTCAATGCTAATGGATTGTCACACTTGTCCGCTGTCAACATCATACAAAGGCACTACATCGCTGGGCAGGCGATAGGTATTGTTTTCTATATATTACTCAGATCTTTTTAACGAACGCAAGCATTAAATGAAACACTTTTAACGGATTAAAACATTAAATTTATTAGTTAACTTATTTACAAATTGTTTTAAGTTAAATCTGCTACGCTAGCGCCATCTGTTTCGTCGCCATACATTTCGCATTTAAGTGTTTTATTTAAATGTTTAATACTCGCGTAAAGTACGGACAGTGCTTAGAGATATAACTGGGACGAAGGGCTTCACGCGGTCTATTTTGACTTGGATTAAACTTGACGGATTTTTCATCTGTGGTAGTTCGTCTACTGGACGGAAATTTCGATATTTCTACCACCCATTTAATATCCAGCTTTTCCAGACGAAATCCGTCATCTTTTTTAAATAATTAAAATATTTTTGAGGTCTTGCTGGGAGTTGAATCCAGGACCCATTGGTTACTATCATACATACCAGTAGACCGATCATCAGAGTTTAATCTTCACTATTTAAGTGTCTTGTTCAGGTTGATTATTTCTTTTGTGATAGGTGCAAGCTGGATCCATCGCCGCCGCTACAACCTTCAATTAAAATACTACATACAACAGTCCAGCGTTCGATGCACTGATGTCTGTAGCCGGCTCAAACTCTGGAGACGAGCCACTAGCGCGGCCGGTGCTGCCCTATCACCAACGACCGCGGGTGCCCATGGGCGGATGTTTGCTCATCTATGTGATACTAGCAGGACAGATGACGCGCGGGTAAGATTTTGAAGGTTTTTCCAAGTTTGATCTGGCAATGGGTTTGATGGCAGGTATTTCACCAGTCATATAACATCTAATTAAGATACGCTGTCCTACCTATTTTGGGCTTAGATATTCTGAAATTCATAGACTGCAAATAGAAATACTGGAGAGTTTTTTCATCTGTGAACGTTGGTCCGTGGACATGGGGTGAATTTGATATTCCTACCTCCCATTTAATATCCAGATTTCCAGACGAAGCCCTACAAGTTTCAAAAAAATAATTAGAAAAATTTTGGCCGACTCCTAGGCCCGTGCCCGTCAAAACTAGATTTTTAACCAATAATAAACAGTTGTATCCAATTAGACGAGAAAATAAAGTTTCCGTACATACTTTCCTTTTCCAGATTAAAATACAAGATCGTCTGAAGTACATTCTCGGCCTAACTCATGAGTTGAAACACCGCGATGTCGGCAAAAGTATAAAAACACCCGCCAAAACACGAAGTTATCAAAACATCGAAGTCTCTCTCAATGTGAACTTGAGATCGATAAGCCCGACATTCGAAGTAACCATACCTGCATTTGCTTCGCCACCTTTCTTGGAACACACTCAATGCTCATGCTATGCATGCAACATGCCAGCATGCATCATTCTGGCATGCACGGTTGCCTCTTTGGAGTCATCTTTGCATTTCCGCTCGAAGCAGAACCATATAGCGAGAGATTACTTCACTGGCGCGTTAGATACATTCAAACTCGCTGAAGCAAAGATACAAACATTGTTCAAAAGGAATGAGACTCTCGAAAATGTAATTGTGGATATCGTGAAAAAGATCTACACTGACGAACTGAAGACCATAGAAATTGGTTTTCTCATAGAATACGCCTTTTTCGAACTCGCCGAAGGTAATAATGATAAAGCGAATGAGCTTATCGTTAAAATACACGAAGTGTCCGAGAGAAATGCCGATCCGTATATCAGAAACGAAATATCCAATCTTCTTATTGCCACATATTGGTTGTGTAAACCGATAAACGCGAAGACATGTAAAGACCTAGAAATAGAGTTCGATAGACTTAAAATCACCACAAGTGAAGTGCCAAAGACACCAGAAACTAAGATAATGCCAAAAATAGTGAAACAGCTAGTTAAGAATGAGGAGATACCGGAGAGACGGAAGCCCGTTATGAAATTGGATTTCCAAATAGATATGGCTGAAGAGGAAACGCCCCAAAAGACTATTAAAACGAACTTCAAGATCCCAGTACCTGTGATCCCTTCGAAGCCAAATGTTGAGACTATAACTCCGAGACCGAGCAGATCGAGACCAAAGATTACAGTAGCTGAACCAGATACTCCACAAGAATTTTTTACTCCAAACTCAACGCCCAGCGAAAAATTCTTCACGCCAATACCGAAGACGTACTCCAGGAAAATTGTGAAAAATCTGGAAGCCGAATTGTCGACGCCGACACCTTTAGAATCCACCAACCCGAGGTCGTTGAGAAAGAAGGCCCTTTTAAGGGCGACGAGTCCTGGGAAACTGGAGAAGACAAGCGATGCCGCTGTCACTAGGTCAAGCAGACGCCTGAAACAACCTGATTTCGATAAATGACGCGATACAAGTTTTTATGAAGTGATTAATGTAATTTATAACAAATTGGAAAATATTACAATAAATAATAACAAATAACTGCCTGTCTCATTTCAATCTTGCCTATATTTAAAGAGTATGGACTACTGGGTACAAGCCACCTTTTTAAGATAGGTCAGAACAGACAAACACGGGTTCACTTGGCGGGTATTGAAATATCCTATTCATATATCATCTATAAAGGATGCGCTCTCGCCCTATTTTGACTTGGATACCTTTCGCAAAGGCTGATATTGATATACTACATACATATTTTAATCCTTTTAAATTGTTTTATTGAAATTTATACAACAAAACAAAAAGTACTTTATTTTCACCACAATGTTACAAAATAAACTTAATCAAAATGGAGCGAGAAAAGGCGGCCCGATCGCTAAAAAGCGATTTCTTCCAGGCAACCTTGAAAATAGAGACAAACGTAAGTCACAGTAAATAAATGTACAAATTAATTGCGTAAGGAACTTGTAACAAAAACTTGACAATAAAAGGAGTGGAGACGAGTTTATTGCCAGTTCTTCTCGTTCGTTCTACGCCCTTAATTTAAGAACGGGTAGTAAATTTATAATTATTATTAACTGAACTGATGTTCATTAACCTACCTACATATGAATAAATGATTACATAATTGATTCGATTTGGTATAAAGCCTAAGTTATAGTCTGGAGGATTTTTTTACACTGTGGCGGCAAACCCTAATATCAGTTTTTGATGCATTAGCAAATAAAATATAAAAAAAATCCTTTGTTAATTAAAGTATTGCCAATTTAACGTATAATATTGAATATATAGCACGTTCACTGTATTTATCATAGTTGTGAAGTTGTTTGCGCTTAAGATCATGGACACGAATGGAAAATATCGATACAGTGCTTTTGTATCGGTCAAAAATTATCGAACATAAAAAAGTATCGATACCATATCGTTTCGTGTTTAGTGAAGTATGAAAAAATCCAAATGCAAACGGAATTTTAAGTAAGACCGCACAAAGAATGTTAAATTATTCTAACTTTTATTTAAGAAACAAGTTAAAAACAACATTCTTATTAAAAATTCAAGCTGTCCCTAAATACAGTGCAGCATTTGCTTCTTAACTCCCACAGAGTACATTAAGATTTAAAAAAGCAACTTGCAAGATTGTTTTAAAGATAATTGAACACATAAATATTAAAAATTGTCACGGATTTGACAGTGTCAGGGCTATAATATCAGGATTTGAATTTTGAACCAAAAAAACAATCGATTTTAAAAGTATCGATACCTTTTCCTTGACCCTATAACTTCGCAGTCATTTATTGTCAGCCATTCATTTTGAATGTCAAACTGTGTATGTCTTGTACTGTCACCTAAACAGTAAAATTGGCGGGACGACTTGCTTTAAAATAATTTTAACAACACAACAATAATGTTTTTAATAAAGTGAATGTTGGTAAATTTTATTTAAACTTTGAGGATGGCTGATACAAAGTTTTTTGTTTATGGCGGTGGACGATGGCGGGAAATAAATTTGGAGCGGGGCAACGTCGACGGTTGGCGTCATACGCGGTTTGTATATGTAAAAAACGGCAAACTTGCTTTTGCTAATAAACGAGCTGTATTGCGGGGTTTAAGGGATCTAGTCCAGAACAAACCCAGTACAGTACAGTATGGTCTTCCGTTACCGAGAAAAAAGTAAGTTGAGATTTTGTTTATTGGTTAAGTAACCACTTACTGCAGCGTGTAAATAATGATATTCGGTTTCAGAATTAAGGAATTTAAAAGGTCTCATGCAAAAAGCAATGTTTCAAATCATCACTGCTGTGGCCATCAAAATTCATGTTGGTAAGAATTATTCTTGTTCCTATGCTGATAAATTTATGTATACTCAGTTGAAATAAGCAAGAGGTTATAGCTAGTTAACACTAATGTTTAGATTACAGCTACTAAAGTTATTTTTAGTACAACGTACCTCATGTAAAAAGATTGTTAAAATCCAAGAAAATTTGAAGATTTTTAATTTGCGTTTTATACAAAGTTTTGTAATATTTGGGTGTTGTTTTCTATTGAGATCATTACATCTCTTCTTTAATTTAGCTATTGTGGATAAGCATGAGTCCAATAAACACTTCCAAATTTTCTTCCAGTAATAGCGTCCAGAAAACTCAATACCAACCTGCTACCACTACGAATACCGCAGTTCAATGTGATATTGAAGCACCAAAAAAACAATCACAAAGAAATGTTAAACAAAGAGCTGAAACTCATATAGTGAGGGAGACAAACCATGACGACATTCAAGTCTCGAGTGACGAAGCTAGTACCAGCTCATCAGTTGAACCATCTTCAGCAATTAGTTTGAGAAATAGAGGACACACGCTTGAAATAAACGAGAACGATATACTGTTGTTTCGTAATTTTATTGAAAACGATGGCTGTAACATGTTAAATGTGGACTTATTGTTATTTGATGAAGACGATAGAGAAAAAGAGAAGGCTTTGTATAAAATTAATCCAGTTGTAAGATTAGTAAGGGATAAACGGATAATAGATTTAATTAAACTTAAAAGAAGGCAGATAAAAGGGTTGACTACGCATAAAGAATTAAATTCCGTTGAAATTTCAACAACGCCAAAGGAGAATATAAAGGGTACAAAAGTTCAAAGGAAAAAACAAGTTAAAAGGTAATGATAAAGTGTGTATATAGTTATTTTTCTATTAGATCTAGTGAACAATCTTTACTTTAGGGTGAATGTTAGTTTATGAGAGGTTTGTGCCATTCTAAGATTACCCTACTTTATTATGTTATCTACGGCTTGGATATGATGTTAATTTAGATGAAACATCCATTACAGTTTAAAAAACCTGAATATATTGGTAAAACTATTTTTTTTTTCTAGCAACCCGCAAGGCATCCGAACTCATGTTTCAAGGTAAATGTGCTCACTTAATCATGTTGCAAGTACCATATATACAATATTAATATAACTTATTTTCTAATTAAGTAAGGGGTTTTAAGCAGGTAGGATTAAATGGCATTAATTATACTTTTAAATTGCTATTATATTTAAGCTCCAATGCGGTGCGAGTATACTCATTGCTTGAGGACGAAGCTATAGTAGCATGGATGTTGAAAAGTGATCGGGCAACTCAAGTGAAAGGAAACCGCTTGTGGAGGGAATATGCACAACACCACTCTGGGCTCACTGGACAAGGTGAGTTGGTATTATTATTTTGTAGAACACACTATGGAAGACCAGATCAAGCCACATTGCCTGATATCTATATCACCAATTTCTCCATCCCTCTTAATCGTATTACTAACTTACTAATAATAATAAGAATGCTTAAAGATCTATTAAGCTACCATCTCCTACATATCATTGTCAAATTTGCACCACAATGCAATTTCTTCCTTAGCCCTTACATGTTGAGGTTTAATGTCCTATGCTTTGCAGGTTAAGAAATTATTAAAGATTAAATTGCTGAGTAGATTAGATACTAAATAGATTTTTTATTTATATGATGCCACGTGGACAATGATAGTATTTTCAAATACTTATTATTTTTTTGTTTACTTATTTGTCTAAACGGTTAGGTAGAAGTACATATTTAATTTAGAGCCCGATTAGGTAAAAGCCTCCTCTACCTGATGGCCACGATTCACCATTATTATTATCTTGCCGATAGAAGACCGGGTGATCTATCCACATCGGCTGTTGAAAATTCCCACCCTTTTCCCCTTTCCGCCTTGGCGGAGGATAAACGTTTCATCATGATTTCTTAGCCACTTCTGACTATATGACCCTCTTCTTTTACCCAAAAAATGGAAGGGTACCTTTTCCCGACCTAACAAGTAGTGACTGGAAATTTAAAGACTGTTGGTGATCTATCTGTTATTACCCGGAAAATATGGCCTGTCCACTTTATTAAGTTCAGTAGACATCACTTGCTTTAGTTGTTCTGCTTGTCTGGGGTGTCCTTCAGTCTTGTTTTAGATCTTCTTTTAATCTTAGACTGATGTGCAAGTAGATATTTTTTGCATGTACGAAGGTCCTGGCCTAAATTAACAGTCAGTAAATAAAAAAATAAGTTACAAATTTGTTTATTTATTAATGCAGATAATAAAACAATTTTAACACTAGTAAGCATGATGGCTTATAGCACTGTTTATAAGCGAGTGACGTCACCATAAAGCCGACCAATCAGGGGCGTTTTGTGTCACGCGACAGATTTTTTAAAAAGTTAAAGTTTATTTGCGGGTTTTGTTTAAATAATTTGTTAGCTTTAACATATGTGACTGTTTTGCCATTTCTAAACTTAGAAATTTAAATGATAATATATTTATAACAGTAATTGACGCTATAGTGTTTGCAAATAGCTTGTGTATAATTTTTGATTTCCATATTAAAAAAGTTATTGTTTTGTCGATGTCAGTACGCACCTGGCAGTCCCTTAAGAATCGGTACCTTCGCTATTTACTGCCATCGCTGGGTACTCTATCGCTGACGACCTCCCAAGCTGCGACCCTGCGGGCGGCTGCATCTTCCGGTAAATACCAAAATTAATGTCTCATTATATTGGCTAGACTGCACCCTTGACTTTGTAATATAAAATACTAGCTGTGTCAGCGACTTTGTCCGCGTCGAATTGAGGGCTTGAAAATACGTTCATGCAAACTTCCTGTTCTCTATAATTTTAAGCTGTTACCGACGACGTCGTCTGCGTCCCGACGTTCTTGCAAGTTAATCTTAACAGATAGACACATTTTTAGATCATGTAAAGAGGAATCCCGTCATATATATTTTTGGGTTTCTTGAAGCGTTTTCGTAGCGTACGCAACGGAAACCCGTATGAATAATTTAGCTGTTTCTTCGCTTCAATTAGTCGCAACGTGATGTTCTATAGCTTTTATAGCTTACTCTAGCCAAGAATTTTTTTTAAATTCTAATCTATTCCTGACATTTTGCGCGTTCATACAAACAAACAAAGTCTTCGGTTTTATAATTAGTATTTATTATGTAATATTACGAAGCCATACAAAAGATACTTAGGGTTTCAGTCACATAGGGCGCAAAAGGTTGGTCAAGTACTTCCTTCTATAAACAAATGGGCCAGTTTAGTCCCATGTCATCAAGAGGAAGTAGGATTTCTCATTCAAACCTACATTTTGCGATGGTACGTGTCATATTAGGTACCAAAATAGTTTACAAAACCACAGTTTACGAACCTGCGCTAGCGCATATTAAACTATTATTATTAATCTATACTCATATACATAGCTTAAGAGACTGTTTAGACGTGCTAATCTCAGGAACTTTTGGTTCATATTGAAAAATGATAACATCTTAAATTTTAAAAAGATGAGGCGGAGGTTTGAAGCTCTAAGCTCTAATGCCGCAAATAACTATTCTACGTGGACGAAGTCGCCGGCACAAATAGTATTAGATACAAAAAAAGAATAGTTTACAAAACTACACGTTACGGACTTGCGCAAGCGCATCTTAAAATATTTTTTTGTTATGATTACATATATGTATTTGTGTGGTTTGGAATCCGTCATAATTTTTATTTTATATACATCACTTGTGCCATATTAACGAAAAGTCGCCTATTAGTAAAGATGCGCATGAGTAGTTTTGTGGACATTACAGAGGACAGACAAGCACGGGGTTGATTGATGAAATTTAAAATATTGAGTATATGCCTGAGTATTTTAGTTTAAACAAGATTCTTTGCCGACCTATTATTACCGACCTATCGGAAATCCACAGACTGAAACCGGTAATCCGTACGGAAACGAATCCAACTGGAATTAGAAACATGTTCAACAATTCAACTCGGACCATTAAATGCGTCAGATTATGTAAAATTGAGAACCATTTTGTATTAAGAATACCAGATAAGCAGTTCTTTCGTTTCTTTTTCAAACCACGCAGGGTTACGACGCACTTGCGTCTTAATAAAAATCGATTATAAATATAAAAAAAAAAATTATGACACCGCCAGGCCTTGGACCGGCATCCACGACGTTCCGTGTTGCTCTAATCAATGGAGCTAGCGAGCCCTACACGTCATCGTCGAATTTTTTCCAACCTTGTAGATGCATGCACCTCTCGCGCAATGTAATTTCAACCTTAACACTTTACACAATACAACTGAACTTACGATGATACTTGAAATTACATTGGGCCAACGTCTTATGCTTTGTAGCTGAAAAGAATCATTGAAGATAAAATTTTATATAGTGAAAAATATATAAATATCTTATGTCTGTTTGATCGAAGTTGTTTTCGCAGGTGAAATTGGTAAAAAGAAATCTCCAAAAAACAACTCTATTTATAAAATCAACCCAGTACGGAGCGCGTGGAGCTCTCGCCCACTTCAGGAACTTCGAGATAAAGATGGTGAGAAGTGTTTTAGTTATTATAATAGATGATGACAGACAAGCGGGGGGTTCACTCGACTGAAATACCCCAGCCACATAACGTCTAATCAAGTTGCGCTATCGACCTATTTTGACTTTGGATCGGATATCCAATACTACTATGTCGAATACTAGTTTATGACCCGGATAGAATTTCTGATCCGGTGGGTCTACATATATATATATATATATATATATATATATATATATATAAACAACTTAGAAAAACTGATTTTTGAAACAATTATTCTTATAATAAGTATTTGAAGTGATAAGTCTTCAGCGCCCTCTATAGCTTTTTCATATTGCATTCCAGAAGAACCTCAAACACCACGACAACTTCGTTCAAATGTGGCCACAGCTCCGAGGGTCGAAATACCAACATACTCCGAAATCACAAGACGCTTTGCCGAACGGCATCAGTCTACACCGTACACCGAAGAAGACACGTTGGAAACAAGCAAAGAACAAGAAACTGACAATACCAGGAGCGCTACCACCAGAAGTCGATCCCAGCACCTGAATGGGGAAACCAAGAGAAGCCTCAAGAGAAATCGCGTCGATTCTGACACAGAGACCAACGAACGAAAGCTTCGTAAAACCAAACCGAACAAATCGTTGGAAAACACAGGAGTACCAAGAAAAACGGAAACACCAAGCAAACCAACGGACAGGCAGAGTGTTAGAAACACATCGAACAGAGACAGAGATATGAGAAGAAAGTCGATGAATGAGAAAAGAAAAGAGATCCTTGCGAAAAAAGATGAAGAGCAACCAAGTTATCGAGGTAACGAACGGAGTCTTCGAAGTAACAAAGAGGATAATTCCATCAGAAACCGAACTAGAACGAAACGTAGCGCAACTGAGAGCGATTCGGATTTTCAAAAGAAGAAAGAAACACGTCAATCAACACGTCAGTCAACACAAAGGGCACAAAAGAACGGACATGGTGGGAGTACAGTTATAAGTGACGATAGTACATCCGGAAATGACAGCAATGCTAGTACAGTTGAAAGTGACAGTAGCTCTAGTACAGCCGAAAGTGTCACAACCAAGCCCAAAACGAGATTGAGCGTCAAAAGTGAGAAGAGTGGGAGTATTCGAAAATTTCAAAGGAACAATGTCGAATCCGTAGACTGGAGGACTCGGAGCAGCCGGAACAATATCGTCTTCGAGATCAGCGATTCGAGCGACAACGAAGTGGGAGTGAGAAAGACTCGACGTCTATACAATCCAAGTGCCTATGTCTCCAAGAGGAGATAGATTTTATATCATAGATAGGTTTTGTTACTCTCAGAGATAGAATTTTATAAAGATAGAGTTTTTCTATCGTCTTTGCATGCAGACCCAATTGTGGGAATAGAATCCACTACATGTTGATCATGACAACATACTGCAGAAACAGCTGAGCTCTCCCCCCCCCCCACAAAAATATTTTAAGCCACTCTCTTCCTTAATAGCTTTAGACTTAAATACTGTCTATAGTTTACGAGCAGTACACATTTAAATAAAACACTTTAACGGTTTAAAACGCGATATACTAGTTGTTATTATAACGTCGGGCCGAAGTTAAATATCATTTTCAAAAAAGTTTAACTAATATATCGCGTTTTAAACCGTTGAAGTGTTTTATTTAAAAGTTTTAGACTTATTTAAATATGTTTTATTTGATGCAATTTTTTTCTGATTTTGTCTTTTATATGCATTAATTATAGTAATTACTGTTTTAGTATAAATATGGGTTATACAAAAACAAGTAAAGTATTGTCTTTATGTTTTCTTTGGTTTTGATAGATGAGAGAGAAAGGACAGACAAGGGTTCACTTCAGCCATATATCATTACAAGATGCGATCTGTTTCGGCTTTGGATATTCGGAAATCCACAGACTGAAATCGGTGGTTCGTGACCCGGATATTCCTACGCCCTTTCATATCCAGATGAAGTCAACATATTTTAGAAACACCTTCCCCCCCCCCCCCCAAGGGTTCAAACCCATTACTAATTGGTTTTAATAAAAATTTAGATTAAATTAAATAATTAGAAAAATGTTAATAAAGGAGAGTCGCAAGAATTCCTTTTGGATACATATCTACAAAATAGTTGTATATAATTATGTATTTTGCATTAAATAAATGTTAAAATATTCAAGAGTTTCAAAAGTTCCAGTTTCCACAATCATAGAAGGATCTAACAAAACTACGTGTATAATTATTAAATGGATCACTTTTAACGGTTTTAAATGCGAAATGGTTAGTTTAACTTATTTGCAAACTATTTTAACTAAGGCAAGCCGGTTTGGAAAGCTTGGCTATTTTAAAATAACTTTAACTATTATATATATGGGCCTTTCTCTACTAACAGGAAAATCGTGGTCCAAGCAATTTTTTTACTTTTTTTGGCTATATTAATGCATAATTTTGTATATTAAAACACATTATATAAGATATTAGTTAAGGAATCAAGATTATTTAATATTTAAAAATAATAAGCATTTAATAAATTCAGTCTAAATGCCACTAAAAACAGTCCTCTGTAATGTCCCATTTTCGGATCCAGTATAATTCGTCTCAATTTTTATTAAGTATATTTATAAATGTAAAATCTTATAACACTGTAAAAATAAAGAATATTGAATGCATGTGAACAAACATCAATTATAATTTTAAAGTATATTTTAGAATAAAAAACTTGTGCCCGAATTCCGTCCATTCTATTTTTGAACAGTCCTCTGTCACAATTTGAAAATCGCACCACAAAAATATTAAAAAATATTGCCGTTATATTTTGCGTGAAACAGATTGTTACTAACATAAAGTTTGCTTGGCTACCATGAAAACCAAGTCACCGTCGTTTTGTGCACTATCAATCCCGCGTTTGTGTGAGAATCACGCATCTGGTCGTGTTGAATGAACAGTCCTCTGGTAAGTCTATTTTATGTTATTTTAAGTGTTTTAATTGTATTAATTTAACAAAACAATGGATCAGTGTGATAATTTATAGCTGATTCTGTGTTATTAAGTAGTATTTTAAACTATTACGTGGTACGACATTTTTACGTAAAAATAACAGTCCTCTGTGCAACAGTCCTCTGGCATTTTATAACACAGAGGACTGTTTTATTTTACGTCCGTGTATTTTAATATTATTCTTAATAGCCTGCACTAATCTACTGCTTGCCAATAGCCTTTTTCTTTCTTAAATTAACCTTTTACGGTAATTTAGATCTTTTCTATGGATTTTGGAGTAAAAAATAATACGTATCTAGTAGATTCTATTTAGCTATGTTTTTAACCCAGTAGCTCCCAAACGGATGGACCGATTTGGATGTAGTATTTTAAGATATTGAAAATATATTTTACTCTTGCAGATTTGCCGTAATGCCACCAAAAAAGAAACCTAAAACAAAAGAAGAAATAAAAGAGCAGAAACAAACTGCAGAACGATTAAGATATCAACGGCTAAAAAATTACCCTGAAAAAAGAGAGCAATTGAAGGTAAAAGAACGACGGAACTACCAAATAAAGAAGGAAAAAGGTACAAGAAAGTTAGTTAGAGATATGAAGCGACGTGAACACAAAGCTGCGACCAAAGGATGGAAAAAGCACTGTACTACTGTACTTTAATTTATTACTTCAAGATAAGCTCGCAATTTGTTCCTAATAAATATAAGTATTGAGTATATGAATTCTATATGTGATACATTATTTAATAAAAAAGAATTTATTTGATTATATTTAATAAATATTGTGTTTATTTTCATGTGAACATTGAAAAAACAGTCCTCTGTCGCATTTTTTCACAAAATCTCCTATAACTCGAAAAATAAGAGAAAATTACAATGGTTCCTTATTTATATGTATTTATATTATAGCTATCTATCGACTAACATATGACATTTTCATTTTTTTAGAAAAATAGGTTTGGGACAACTTTGTATAGACAATTTTCCTGTTAGTAGAGAAAGGCCCATATATATCGCGTTTTAAACCACACTTTATCGGTTTTAGTTTAACAAGTGATATTTTTAAGATAAATTGCAAATAGTATACCAACTGCACCAAAAGAAATTAGGTAAACCTTTTACAGAGTTTTTAGTAGGCTCTGATTGAATGTGAAATATAAAAAACATATTTTTCTCGCTTGGAATGCTTGGAAACTGGAGCATTATTGACGTCTTTCTTCGAGATAAGAACTTCCTGTACTGGTCGAGCAGCGGCCAAATTTTAAAAATGGAATTCTCTAATCCGCAACATGGCGACCGAAGAGGTTACTTATCGAAGGTTTCATTTATATTTCGAACTGGCTGGCACAAAGATAGCTGTTTATAAAAAAACATTTGGCGCGTAAAAAACTATCGTTAATAGTTCGTCAACTTCGTCATTGGTTTTGAAGTTCTGAATTGTACTACTTAGTTTTCGTTTCCGCGCATTATTTGATAAAAGTAATAAACAAGCCTTGGCCGCAACTAGGCCTTGATGGTCTTACGCATCACATATTGGCCGCTGTACTAACGTTTTATTAATGTACGTAGATATTAAGAAAAGGTGGGTCAAATCCTACAGAGCAGTAGCAGAGATCCCAGGGGATATCTACTCCAGATGGCTGCAGCCAGCTCTTCCAGAGATTCTATTCAAAAGAATCGCAGCCCGGTAACACATAAGTACTTTTACACGACTTACAGGCTGGATTTCGAAGTAATAACGGGGCCTCTAGCGTGGCGCCCGCACAGTAGAGATATAGGATTGTTTTCAAATACCTTGAAACCAGTGGTCGCCACGACTGCTGCAAAGCATCCGAAACGTCGGGCCGTTGTCATAATAAATTGATATACATATTGCATTTTAAACAGTAATGCACAGTTGTGTAAACGTAAACTCGAGACAGACTTAAATACCGACAAATAAATACTAGTGAACAACTTTGTTCTTGATTCGTTTCTTTTTATTTTAGAATATTTGGTCTTACATGAAACGAATTATGATATTTCAAGTATTCGATATTTTTACTCAAACATATGGAATTAGCTGTGAGCGCCATCGTTTTTAGAGCGTACGCCTCGGAAACTCGGAAATAATGATCAACCTTTTCCCAAAATATTTTTACCTTTCTCGCTGTATCTTCGCTTGTATTAGTCACAGCGCGATGTTTTATAGCCTATAGCCTTCCTCAATAAATGCTCCAACTAACACAAAAATAGTTTTTCAATTCGAACCAGTACTTCCTGAGATTAGTGCATTCAAACAAACAAACTCTTCAGATTTATATATTAGTATAGATTACCCAGTGATTTTCACCGAAGGAGTCATTATATAAATAGCATCGGAATGGAAACATTGTGTAAAGATTATGATATAAAAGCATTCGGTCATTAAATAAAAATAAATTGTATCGCTTAAGTGCTTCGCACACACGGGATATTTCGCGTCCTAGTAAAGCCAATTTAAATGGAAACATTTTTCATATTTCATCATATACTGTCTGTAGTTTACGCGAGTAGTGCACATTTAAATAAAACACTTTAACGGTTTAAAACGCGTAAAAAATATTTTCAGTTGCACTTGTTCGAACATTATGTTTAACTACGGCCCTACGTTCCGGATGCTTTACAGCAGCTGTGGTCACGGCAAGATTATGAATGGTTTTTGTCTCAGACGTCAAAGTAAAAACTGCTGCGCTAGTGCCATCTGTTTCGTCGAAGTTGGTATTTGGCGAAACTAGCTGTTTATTGGAATCCAGAGTTTTTATTATGGGATCCCAGGTGTTTGATAATTTCAGGCCGTCCTACCTATTGAAATTTCGGTGTTTTTTGATTTCAATTGCTTCGCGTACCGAGGATTTTTAGCTGGTCAAAGCTAATGTAATGATTGGGCCCTTCCGATGAGTGTTGGCATACCGCAGATTTGGAGATACGTTTATGTTTTATATCCGCGAAGTGTTCTTTAATTCTGTTTGAGATACTACGCTTGACCGATATAGGATAGGCCACAATTATATTATTATATTTATTCGTTCTTTTAATAAGTGAAACTAAATTAATTTAGACTGAATAAAAAATACGACACGGTCCGGACAGGAACCCATACCTACAGCATTCCATTCTGTTTCTCTAACCAATTGGGTTTAATATATTTCAGTTGTGAAAAATATTTAAGTTTTAAAACTAGGAACTTTTCTACACGAGGAAAAATTTGAACAATTCAATCACAGCACTACGTAGAAAAAAATACAAGTTGAAGTAAAACACATTAACGGTTTAAAACGCGAAATAAATTAGTTAAAATTATTCGAAAATCATCCGAAACGTAGGGCCATATTTAAAATAATTCAAACAAGTTTAAGTAATATATTTCGCGTTTTAAACCGTTTAAAGTGTTTCATTCAAATGTCTACTCGCGTACATTACAGGCAGTACTTAAAAACAGAAGTAGTTTTCAAAACATTTTATTCGCTTTCCTTTTTATTCTCAACATTGTTAACAGTATAAAAATTTGGTATACTCTGTGAGGACACATCCGCCCTTTCAACTGTCACTTTAATGTTGTTCTGCAACTTCTCTTTGTCTGAAAGGAAACGCAACTATTTAGACATTACCAAAATTAGTATACTTAGTTTAAATAAAACACTATAACGGTTTAAAACGCGATATATTAGTAGTTAAACTTATTTAAAAATTATTTTATGTACGGCCCTATGTTTCGGGTGCTTTGCAGCAGCCGTGGTCACGGGGCGACTTACTTTGGTTTTAGATATTATAAGAACGGTTTAAAACGCGATTTGTGTTAGTCAAAATTATTTGAACATTATTGTAACTACGGCCCGTCGCTTCGGCTTTGCAACAGCCGTGGTCACGTCTCCCCGTAATAAGTTTACCTAATATATATCGCGTTTTATACCGTTTGTTTTACAGACAGTATTTAGTCAAATATATTTGTCATTACCTGGCAAACAATTTGAATCACACGGACATATAGACGATATGTCCGGCGTGCTTATCCGAATATTTGCGTACGAGTGTTTCAGGACTATGTTCTCGTTGTCGCAGCCGCATTTCCCACACGGAGTATTGCGTTTCACCACCTCTTTCTTCGTGAAAATGCCTGAAAAAAATCTATACCTATATATACTAAAATATAAAGCTGAAGTGTTTTTGTTTGTATGTTTGAACGCTCTAATCTCAGAAACAACCGGTTCGAATTGAACAATTAAACTTGTGTTAAATACTGTCTTATAGTTTACGCGAGTGGTACACATTTAAATAAAACACTTTAACGGTTTAAAACGCGATATATTAGTTACACTTATTTTAAAGTGATTTTAACTACGGTTCCAATTTAACGTTTCGGATGTCTCCCCGTGACCACGGCTGCTGCAAAGCATCCGAAACGTCGGGCCGAAGTTAAAAATCATTTTCAAATAAGTTTAACTAATATATCGCGTTTTAAACTGTTAAAGTGTTTTATTTAAACTTGTGTTGACTAGAGCATTTATCGAGGGAGGCTATAAGACACTGCGCTGTGACTACTTAATAGGAGAGAAGAAACAAGGATGAACAAACGAAGGATGCGGAAAACAGGTGAAAAATTATTCACCTTTGTAGATTTAAAATAATTATTTTACGCGGACGAAGCCATTGACACGGCTAGTGTGTGTATTACGCTTACGCAAAGAGCATACCTCTTCCATCATTACTGAAAGTCAGTGGTATTTCTACGAAATTTCCCCCCCTCTCTCCAAATGGTGGGAAACCTCTTCTGCCACCAGGCGGTGAATTCTTCTTGCCTGAAAACCCGAAAGCCTTCTTCACAGACGCTGCTAGGCTCCTCTTCTCGACTTCTGGACTAAAAATCGAGCAGAGACATTCGTCGACTGGTCCAGTACCTTCTTGCAGCTTCTGGAGGGATTCTTCGTCCAACTTTTTGAGTTTTGCATAGTCTGACATTATAAAACTCAGCATTCAGACCGTTTTAAAATTCCCTTCATTTTGCTGTCTAAAAAATTAATCATTTTAAATACTAGTAGTTTACGCGTGTAGTACATATATATATGTAATTAAACAGTTTAGAACGCGAAATATATTGGTTAAACTGATTTGAAAAGTATTTTAACTACGGGCGAATCATTCACCTATTTGATATTTTAATTACAGTGACTCAAGAGAACCATTATTAAGTAAATATATTAGTAACTATTGTATTAGTTATTGACATAAATAGAAGGGTGAAATTCTTGCGCAGCGGCAAGATGTTCTAGTACTTTAATAAAAAAATCTTTATTTTTTAAGCTGATTAGAGTATTATAATATTTACCGCCAGTCGTGTGTCATTAAAAAAAACTTACATGGTTGTCCGGTTTGCTATTTTATTAGTGGCATGATTGCTTTGATTATGTATTAATTTTTTATATTACATTTTTACATTTATAACTGTCAGCTGTCACAAAAGTGACAGCGTATTTGGTTAGCACATTTACTTTTTTTACAGACTAAATTAATTGATCTCGATCAAAAATGTTTATCTATACTTGCTTAACAAAAGACTGTAATGGAAAATTCAATCCTACTAATAAAGTTGAAAACTTTGTTTCAACGCGCTAATCTCAGGAACCACTGGCTTGGATTAAGAAATATTTGTGTTGGACACAGCAGTCATCGAGTTTGAACTATATAACATCACGCTTAGACCAACAGGAGTGAAGAAGGATAGGAAAATGTGAAAAAAAGATTCATCTTTGAGGGCTTCCGTTGCTTGTTTAAGAAACCGAAAGATATGTATAAAAGCATAAACTCACAAGAACGATGGGACGCGGAAACGTCGTGCGTAACTTATTTTATAACTTAACATTATAACATAAGTTATAAGACCCCCCCGTTACTCAATGGGAATGACTCAATTCTTTACAGTTGCCTTGCATTGCGTCGAGGGGTCCCGGGTTCCAATCCCATAAAAATATCTATAGAACAACAGGGCATAGAAGTCGTATCGCTTTTTTCAATTCGAACTAGTGGTTCTAGAGATCATCGCGTTCAAACAAAAAATTCTTCAGCTTTATAATATTAAGGTATAGATAACACGTAAATAGCTTAGTTATAATCTATACTAATATATAAGGCTGAAGAGTTTGTTTGTTTGAACCCGCTTATCTCAGGAACTACGAGTTCGAATTGAACATTATTTTTGTGTTGGTTAAAGCATTTATCGAGGAAGGCTATAGGCTATAAAACATCGCCCTGTGACTAATACAAGTTAACATACAGCGCGATATGTGAAGGTTATTGAGAAAATTATTCATGATTAGGGGTTTCCGAGGCGTACGCTGCAAAATAGTTCATGATACCCAAAAAATATGTATAAGAGAATGATTCCTCTTTAAATGATGTAAAAAAAAGTCCGCGATACTATACGTCTGTCTCTTAAGATTACCTTGCAAGAACGACGGGAACGGATGCGACCGACTTCGTGGCTAAAAACGAATGTGGATACCCGAAATAACTATTCTACGCAAACGAAGTCGCTGGCTCAGCTAGTACTGTATAAGAATAGAACTTAAATTTAAATATAAACGCAAAGTCTGATTATTTATTTTTATAAAAAATATAATACCTCCTGCGGTTACTGCTTGCGAAGGAAGTCATTTTATATTGTTTTCTCTTTAATACAATTTTAATTTAAAATTTAAATAACTATGAACTGTATTTATATGCAGCGCTTAACTGTACATGATTAACTTTTATTACCTACGAATGGTTTGGGTTTAAATCTCAGGGAAATATAATGAATAGTTAAAGTCGATTGTTACTAGTGTAAGTAGTACATAACTGTGTAAATAGTATAATTTGTTAACGTATTGAAATGAAACAATTCGAACGGTTTGAAACGCGAAGTGTATCAGTTAAATTAAATTAACAATTAGTTAACCAATATATTTCACATTGAACTTTGAATTAAAAGTCTTTATTTACGGTTCGACGTTAACGGGTCACTGAAGATAGTGCCATCAGTTAGTCAATGTTGAATGTTGTCAAAATACAAAATAACGTCCAATGTTTAATTTTAGGACATGCGAATTATGTTTCCCACAACTGAGGATCGAACTTCTGACCGTGTCGAAAATCGAGTGTTCTTACCACTAAATCAACACGTTATAATAGCTGTCTTGTTTTTAAAGTTTAGTTTGCTTCTTAAACCATCAATTATCGGAGTTTCGGACGTTCGGACTGGCGCCAGTTAGCAGCTAGCGATAGTTAGTGGGGACAACTACCTGCGCAATTGTCGTGAAATAATGTCTGATCAACTACTTGCCCGTCAAAAGAACGGATCAGTAATACAGACATAGAAATGTGTTCTCACATACGTCCAAAATCAATATCAATACTTTAATAAAACACTTTAACGGTTTAAAACGCGATATATTAGTTAAACTGATTTTTAACTTCGGCCCGACGTTTCAGATGCTTTTCAGCAGCCGTGGTCATTGGGTCTCCCCGTGACCACGGCTGCTGCACTAATATATCGCGTTTTAAACCGTTTAAGTGTCTTATTTAAATGTGTACTACTCGCGTAAACACAGTACATATTGAATCTCAATATTTTAATTATTCTTTCAGACATTTTAGACGTTTTTATAACGTGGATTTTAAATGTATTATATGAACCAGCGTTCATAGATTAAAAAGCCGTGCAGTAAATTATGTATCGGTATGAGTCTGTGGATTCCCGAATATCTAAAGCCAAAATAGGTCTAATTATTTTCACGTTCCATAAAGTGAACCTCATGGTAGTCTGTAGATATAAAGTAGATAGTAGTAGTATTATAGCAAATATAATATACAATAAATCAATTTTTTGAAAACTAAAAATGCCCCGGAAATAATGTATACCAAATAGATATTATTTGGAGTATAGGATGGACATATTTTTGAGTCTATAGCACTGATCGTTTGATTACGTATTGTCTTTAGCCCACGCGAACAGTACATTTAAATAAAAAAACTTTTAACCATCTAAAATGCTATGTATATTAGTTTATGGGACACGGGGAGACCCGTGGTAGTTAAATTAAATTTAGCCCCCCCCCTCCTGACCGTGACCACGGCTGCTTTTTTATTTAAAAGTATATACGGTAAGACAACGCCGCAAATATAATATGGTAATTAACTGCACGATTTTATCTAAAAGTATATATATAAAGTATATGGTATAACAACATTTATTTGATCCGCTAAGCTATACCTAAAAATTAATTCGGAACTTTTATTAAGAGAAAACCAATTTTTTGAACAGTAATACGACACGGAATTCGTACAAAATCACTGGTTTTCGGAGTTTAAAGGTTCTGGTGTCTAATAACTGGAGTTTAAGGATTTCTCTACTTTTATAATTTTATATTATATATGTTGGTAGGTAAATAATTATTAACATCTGCAGTTTATGCGTGTGACATAGATTAAATATAAGACTTTTAACGGTTTAAAACGCGACATATCTTATTTAACTTAGCTATAGTGTATTTTTTCTAACTAGGCAAATGACTACAACGAATATGGCCGATTTCAAACCATACATAGTGATGTCTTTTTATAGAATGTAGTAATTGCCACATATCACACAGAGTTTAAGAAATATTATGTATGACCGCCTATGTAGCCAAATGGTTAAACGTATTGCCTAGCATTGAGTCAAGCGCGAGAGGTCCTGGGTTCGAATCCCAGGAAAGTCTGATCAACTACTTGTCCGTTAAAATGAACGAATCGGTGAAACGGACACAGAAATGTGATCGCCCCATGCCCCACGAGGGGGAAACGGCCTGTCACTTTTATGTATAGGCCAAATTACTTAAATATTAAAAATCACTTTTGTAATAAGTTGTTCTTTTTTTAATTTTTATGTCAATTTTATTTAACTCAACGTTTCTAACACTTTTCAGCGATCGTGCATGGGGGGGATATCTACCTTCTATTGTCGTTGACTTTGCTTACATCCCAGCCTTATGTAAATGTCAAAGTAAATAAATTTAAATCTGTGTACTTGCGTAAATTCATTTTAATGATTTTTATTACTTTTAACACGAAATTGTGGTTTTTACTAAGTGTATTTTAGGTAGTTCATTAGCCTAATTTATAATACAATGTCTCAAAGTGTTTTTAGTGTTATTCGATTTAAACCTTTTGAGACAATCACGATTTCAAGTAAACTGTGTCTTTGTTTACGAAATATGACAAGTAAGAAAAAACATCGCATAGTGTATCGTATCAGTAGTAGTTTTTTTTAGTAGTCCATAAGTTAACTACTAAGCCACGGAGACAGCTTATATCTTGTTTAATCTTCTGCAATCGTAAAGAGTAGTCAAATCTTATCTTCTTAATAGACATGTTTGTTCGTTCTTCTAGCTTTTATCAACAATTTGATTGTTCTTCACAAAGTACTTTAGTTGTGAAGTTCACAATTGTTTCAAAAAACACAGTTGTTTGTAAATACAATCGATAATTTAAATATAACTAATATATTTCGCGTTTTAAACCATTTAAAGTGTTTTACTCAATCAATAAACAATGCCTAATAAAATCGATCAGTGATATACTTAGATACAAAAATATGTCTATCCCATGACCCAAAAATCGTGAAAAATTTCGCAGGTCGATTCTATTTACAGACAAGATGTTCTCTGCACTGCCCGACCGAAACAAATCTAAGGAGGTTGTTTGTAAAACTAAATAATATGACGCCCAAAATAACTATTCCGCGCGGACGAAGTCGCGGGCACAGCTAGTAATCTATATAACTAGTGAAGCTGACAAAAGTACTTGACTAATGCCTCCAAATTTATCGTGGGAGAAGTTTATTTAGTGAATTTGAAACGCAATTTGTTTTCTATTACATACCAGGGATATAAATAAATACCAATTCGTCATACGTGCTCACATGAACATTTGGTGTACTCAAA